ACTTGGTCGTGGTGAATTATCTTATGGATACATTGTTGGATTCTGATAGCTAAAATTTATTGAGGATTTGCATCAGTGTTCATTAGGAGATTGGCCTATAGTTTTCCTTTTTTTGTGTTGTCCTTATTCGGTTTTGTATTAGTGAATATTGGCTTCATAGAACGTGTTTGGTATTGTCCCTTCCTTCTCAATTTTTGAAGAGTTTGTGAAGGATAGGCACTAATTCGTCTCTGAATGTTTGGTAGAATTCATTTGTAAATCCATCAGGTCCTGGGCTTTTGTTTTTGGGAGTTTTAATTACCATTTCAATTTCGCTGCTTGTAATTGGTCTGTTTAGGTGTTCTTTCTTCTTATCTAGCTTGGGTGATTGTAGAGTTGTAGGAATTTGTCCATCTCCTCTAGATTGTTGAACTTGTTTCCATATAACTGTTCATAGTAGTTACTGATTATTCTTTTGATTTCTGCTGTGTCCGTTGTGATTTCTCCTCTTTCATTTATGATTCTGTGTATTTGTGCTTTCTCCCTTTTTCCTTTGTGAGCCGGCTAGGGGTTTGTCTATTTTATTTATTTTTTCAAAGAACCAGCTCTTGGTTTCATTGATCTTTTGGATTGTTTTTTTAGTTTCAATTTCATTTATTTCTGCTTTGGTTTTTATTATTCTTTTCTTCTACTGGTTCTGGGTTTTTTGTTGTTCTTTTCTAGATCTTTGAGCTTCGAGATTAGGTTGTTTCTTTGAGTTCTTTCTTGTTTTTTGATGTGAGCTTCTATTGCTATATATTTCCTCTTATTGCTTTTGCTGCATCCCATACATTTAGGATATTGGTGTCCTCCTTGTCATTCAATTCAAAGAATTTTTAATTTCTTCTTTGATCTCCTCGTTAGTCCAGTGGTCTTCCAGTAGTGTGGCTTTTAATCTCCATGAGGTAGGATAGTTCCTTGCCTTCTTTTTTTATTTAGATTTTTTTAGTTTGATGCCTTCGTGGTCAGAAAAGATGGTTGGTATGATTTCAATCTTGGTGTATCTGTTGATGTTTGTCTTGTGCCCCAGTATGTGATCGATCCTGGAGAATGATCCGTGTGCGCTTGAGAAAAATGTGTACTCCGTTTTTTTTGGGTTTAGTGTTCTATAGATGTCTGTTAAGCCCAAATGCTCTAGGTCCTTATTTAGAGCTTTAGTTTCTTTACTTATTTTTTGTCTTGTTGATCTATCCATTGTTGATAGTGGTGTGTTGAAGTCTCCCACTACATATGTGTTTTCTCTGATGTCTGTTTTCAGAGAGGACAACAGTTGTCTGATATATTTTGGTGCTCTTTCGTTTGGTGAGTATATGTTAATGAGTGTTATTTCTTCTTGAAGTATTGTCCCCTTAATCATAATGTAGTGACCATTGGGGTCTCTTTTTATTTTTTGAGTTTGAAGTCTGTTTTATCTGATATAAGTATAGCTGTTCCTGCTTTCTTTTTTGGCCCATTTGCTTGTAGGATTGTTTTCCATCCTTTGACTTTGAGCCTATTTTTATCTTTTGTAGCTAAATGTGTTTCCTGGAGACAGCAAAAGGTTGGGTTTTGTTTCTTAATCCAGGCTGCAACTCTGTGTCTTTTTATTGAAGAGTTTAGTCCATTTACATTTAGAGTTAATATTGATATGTTAGCATCTGTATTTGCCATTATGTTTGTCTTTCCTTTGATTTTATTTATTTATTCTTTTAATAACTTTTTTTTTTTTTTGGTCTTCTTTCGTTGTTATTCGTCCCTCTGAGGTTCTGGCTTTAGGATTCCTTGTAGTATTTTTTGAGTGGGGGTTTAGTCGCAATGAAATTCCGGAGTTTCTCTTTGTCTGGGAAGGTCCATATTCTTTCTTCATGGAGGAAAGAGAGCTTTGCGGGATAGAGTATTCTTGGTTGGCATCTGTTTTCTTGGAGTCTGTTGACTATGTCCCTCCACTCTCTCCTTGCCCGTAGTGTTTCTTCAGAGAAGTCTGATGTCAGCCTGATTGGTTTTCCTTTGAATGTTATCTGTTTCTTCCCTCTTGTCAGCTTCATTATTTTTTCCTTGTCCTGGATTCTTGGGAGCTTTACTATTATGTGTCTTGCTGTGTTTTTCCTTTCGTCGTGGAAGTTTGGTGTTCTTCTTGCTTTCTTGTATATCAATTTTCAGCTCCTTCTTCTCATTTGGAAGTTCTCTTCAATTATATCCATGAATATTTTCTCTGTTCCTACATCTCTCTCCTCTCCTTCTGGAATTCCTATAACTCTTATATTTCCTTTCCTCATGGAGTCAGATAGTTCCCGAAGTCTTTCTTCATTCTTTTTCCTTCGTACTTCTCTTTCCTTTTCTGTTTTGGTTCTTTTTATTTCTGTGTCTTCAAGATTACTTATTCGTTCTTCCATTTCATCTATTCTGCTTTCATTGCTTTTCCCAGAGTTCTTTAGTTCCTCCATTAATTCTTTGATCTCCTGCATTTCTCTTACTTCCCTCTTTAGGGACTCAATTTCCTTCTTCTGATCTATCACTTTTTAATCATGGCAATTTTAAATTCTCTTTCTGGAAGGCTCAGAAGTTCTTCCAAGTTGCTGTCGTTGCAATCTGGGGAGTGGTTTTCTTTTTGTGGTGTGCTTCTTTCCTGAGGAGTTTTTAGGTTGCGTGTGGTTCTTCTACTCCCTACTGTCTGTTTTCTAATTTGTCGTATGCGTTGGGACACTGTGTTGCTCGGACTGACTGACATCTTGGGTGAACTTCTCCGCTCCCCTCTGGTTCTTCCAGGAGCCATCTCTGTCTTCTGGGGGAGCTTTCTGCTGGTTTTAGGCAGTTTTTACTGAAGAAATGTCCCTGTTCTCAAATGGCGAAGCGGGATGCAGTCCCTGCGCCTCCGGTTTCAGGCACACTCTTCTGCGCACCCGGTCTGCCCCGGACGTGGGTGCCTGCTCCCTCTGTGGGCTCAGACTGCTGGTCGGAAGGGGCCTGGCGTGGAATAACTTCCCGGCTGGCCACTGGGTCCTCCAGAAACCTTCTGCCCTTTTCAAGCAGTCTTAAGAAATGTCCTGTTTTATAGGTGTTAGTGACTTTTTTTTTTCCTGGTCGCTAGTGGCGCCAGAGATCTCTCCTATTGTCCTTGGGGGGCTGTTTTTCGCCTCCCCCCACCCCGTGGGACAGAGAACAGAGCGGGAATGGTAGGGTACACCTCAACAGCTTTGGGGTGCTGTGTCTGCCTTGTGCCCCACCGTCGTGGAGAAACCACGCCCCGAATTTTCGTGCCCCGGGTCTCAGTTCAAAGCCCTCAGTTCCAGGACGTGGGCTGTAGCCCAGTTCAGTGGCGCGGGAATGGCGCCTTTTGCACCGCTCCCATGCCTGGGCGCCTGGATCCTGCTTACTCAGGGAGGGACCTTCACCTCAGTGAGGACCTCCGCGCGTCTCCCCGCAAGCCTAGGTAGTCTCCCCGCAAGCCTAGGTCGCAGGCGCGGGGACCTGGGCAGCCGTGATCCAGGTCTGCACTTGCTTTTCAAGCGCGCCGAGCACTCCGCGTTTCCGCGCCAGCTTACCAGCAGCCCGGGCTGTGTGCACGTCTCCCGGGGTCTTTGTTCTTCTCTAATGGCGCCAGGAGCCGTTCGCTCACCGCCGCGGCGGATCCTGCAGGGTTCGCCTCAGCTCCCGTTCACGGGGTGTGGTGGCTGCAATAGTTCCTTTCCGCTCCCAGTCCCCCTTGCTGCCTCATTTGTTCTTGTGGGCCGTTTTGTTTGTTGTTTCCTCCTCTCCGGGTCGGAGAGTGCCGCCTCTGTGGGCGGGGGAGGGAGCAGGGTTCTGCGCTTCCCTCCCTTCTAGTCCTCTTTTATGGCCACTTTCTTCTTCGGGCAGTTCGCTGGCGTCACCCGTTTATCTTCCGTGTCCCAGTTCTCACTGGGACCTGCCGCTTTTCCTCCCTATTCACTTTTTTTAATGGGAGATCTTACTCGCAGCGTCTCCTCGCCGCCATGTTGCTCCGCCCCCCTCGACATATATTCTTTTGTAACTTGATTCTTTTTATTAACTTTGTGAGGTTCATCCATACTGATAATTAATATCTGTAGTAGTTCACTGAATATGTATAGCATGATTTCTCCATTCTCTTAATGCACATGGATCTGTGTCAAACAAATGAATCATGTCGCTTTTCTGTTCAGAACTTTTTTGAGCCTGCATTGTCTAAATATAAACCCTTAACAAATAAGGATGAAATCCCTGCCCTTTCTTCCTTCTTGTTTGCATTCTCAATTTCCAAATTGTTCTCTAGCCAGGTTTATTTTGTTACTTTTTTTGTATGCTTTTTTTTTTTTTTTTTTGTATTTTGAAATAATCTGAAAGGTAAAAAAGACTAGTCACAAAGTACCTTTTGGTCTCTAAATTATAAATTGCTGGCTTGGTGCCTTGTTGTCCCCAGACAATTTGTGTACATTTATATAAACACGGATATCCTCTTGCAGAACCACAGTACAGCCAATAACATCATCTAATTCTTACCGTTCATTCAACATTAGCCCTGTGTTTCAATAATGTCATTTTGTTTCAGAATCTAATATCACATTTTTTTAAATATCTTAGTCTCCTTTAGTCTAAAACAGTTCTCAGTCTTTTTTTGACTTTGGTGATGATGACTCATTTGTAGATTCTAAGTCAGTTATTCGTTTGGATTTTTGCTCACATTAAATATGTAGAAAAGACTCATTATGAATAAATTAGTTTCAATATTTAAGAAAAACTCATGAGAAAAATTATAGCATGTGTGTTTCTTTAGAATGTATATGCAAATAATGAATGACACGGTCACCATTAATCACTAAATGAAGAATTTAGACATACTGATTGAACAAAACTCTTATGGATTGAATAAAAATGTGCATAAGTGGAATTTATTCTTTCATTTTTGAGAATACTGTCCAGTTTTAACAATGTTCAAATTTTAAGATGAATACACAAACAACAGAGACTGAATTTTACCTAGACATTGCTTTTCTTCTTTCTTATAGCTATTATCTTCCTAAAAAGTTTACCCAGTGTAACATTGAAGAATATCATGACTTCCTCAATAGTGGAGGTGGTGCTTGTCTTTTCAACAAGCCTTCTAAGGTAATAAGTGTGCTCACAGTTATTAGTTACAAATCTTTCAAAAGTATTATTACTACATATTCAGTCATGGGTCTTATTAAAGAGAGCTGTTCAACTTGAGTGATATGTGCATATTCTAGAAATGCTAAATATCTGCATCTTCAAAGTCAGATTTATTTGTGGGTATTTGGGGGCTATTACTGATGGGAATAGAAAGTAGATAAAATGAGTTTTTTTTTTTCCTGTAAAATTTCTGGTTTTTAATATGACCAAATGATAATTCATGGTTAGCTTATGAAAATGGTTTCATTTTACTTTTGTTTTTTTAGTTTCTTGATAAGTAACTCTCTACCATCACTTTTAAATACTTAATCATAACTTATATAGCTTAACAGAATGAGCAATATAATTAAAATTATAAGTACTTCTCATTATAAAAGCCAAGTTTTGCTTAAAGCAGCAAAGTCTTTCCATACAAGTCTTTATTTTTACTACTAGCAGAGCATCTTCTGACCTCTGACTAGAAAGCACATCTTCCTCATATATCTGGAAGACTTTGCATATTAAAGAAGAATCCTCTGTTGTTGTTCATCACCCGGATTATGATGTGCTTAAAGCCACCACAGCCATATGTGGCATTGCTTTTTTTTTTTTTTTAAATTTATTTATTTATGTAAGCACTGGGCACAGTCAGAAGTGCAGGAGGGTGAGAGAACTCAGCAGAGCCAGAGCAGGGAACAGAACAGGCAGACTGACGAAATACACTGCTGAGGGGAGCAGTGGGCACAGCAGGAGAGGTCTGCTCGCCATGTGGGACCCTCGCCAGTGGCCGGGGATCGAACTGGCGCTGCAGAAGCTGCGGGCAGCTTCACAGCCCTGTGCTCAACTGCTGCGATATGTGGCATTGCTTTTGTAATAATTTACCAGGTTTCATTCTCTGCTCACTACAGTGAAATTTAAAAACTGTATCATATTGAAATGAAAAGCAAATAGACAATTTTAAGACTACAAAAATGTGAGAAGAAATATTTGAACTAAATCAGTGCTACTCTAAATAAAAAAAGTTGTCTTTTTACCAAAATAATTATTTTGACCCTAGAGTAAAATAACATATATGTTTTTCATTTGGATAACTTTTAGTTTTGACTGTCAAAGGTGTCTCATTTGTTATGATCCCTTTCTTACTGAAAATGAAATCTAGATATGAGTTGATTCTTTTGTGGTAGAGGAGAGAGTATTTAAAATCAGATGGGGATTTTGTTGTTGCTTTCATTAATTTGTTTTTTCCTCTCTAAGAAAGTACAAATTTGTGTGTGTGTGTGTGTAATAAGTGTATGTCAATAGATGTGTGTCATTTTTTTTTACAATATGTAAACTTTGATGAACTTCTGAATGAATATGATCTATATGGAACATAGCAATTATTATTTATTTACTAATTTACCTATCTGCATAGATAAATTATATTTAAAAAGTAATAAAACTAATGGAAACTTAATAAATAAAACAGTATTAAAATGTACTCTTGTACATTTATTGCTTCCATCTCTAAAAAACTTGTTAATAGGCAATATATTTTGTATTAATAATTCAATAGATTTATTAATCTTTGTGTTTTCCTCATTGTCTATGAAATAACTTTCTTTTCATAAGGAGATAAAGTTAATAAAGTTAATAATTTTCGTAGATGACTGAGCCTCCTACCAATTTGTGATGTAGGTGGGCAGCTAATATTATTGCTATTATCCTGTTTTAAATATTAAAACGCTTGGGTTCTAAGATGACAAGCTATTTGTCCAAGATAAGAAGTTGAGCCAAGATTTGAATCCAGACTTTCTGACTCCATATCTCATATCTCTTGCTTCTTTGAAATTAAGTTTCAAGAGTCATTCTGGCTTGGTTTTAATAAATGACTAGATCATCTTTTACGTCTTTTATTTTGGTGCCATTTACCAGACTGCACTTGATATGTTTGTTATATATGTAAATATGATTAAATCTGAAATGGAAAACAGAAGTAGACATCTGTTCTAAAGTTCCCAGGTGTAAAGTACTAAGGTCATGCTTTCTAGTTTAGGAAAATAAAAATATATTTTGAAGTGATTAACAGATGTCAGCTGTATAGGTGTGGCACTTATTGTATTTCATAAGGTCTTAGGTGTTGATTTTTCTATATTTTATTTACACTTTTGGTTTTCATTCACAGCTTCTTGATCCTCCCGAGTGTGGCAATGGCTTCATTGAAACAGGAGAGGAGTGTGACTGTGGGACCCCAGCAGTAAGTCTCTGGGTGTTTTGATGATTTTTTAAGACTATTCAGGGTCATTTCAGGTCCCCCACTCTGAAACACACAGAACAAGTGTTATGCCTGGAAATTGTGTAGGTTCTGTGGAAGACATGTTATTGTGAGGTTATACATTTATTTTAGAAAAGATTTTTGTACTTTCAGGAAAATGACACTCCTTTCTGATGATTTACAAATATTTATATTCCTTAGGAATGTGTCCTGGAAGGAGCAGAGTGTTGTAAGAAATGCACCTTGACTCAAGACTCTCAATGCAGTGATGGTCTGTGTTGTAAAAAGTGCAAGGTAAAATGAATGTGATTAATGGCCAGTTCACAGAAAAGAGAACATATCTGAATAAAATATTAAGGCTAAGTAAATATAATCTAATAACAATAAAAGTACTTAACATGTATTAAATGGCTAAGTGCCAGCTACTTTAAGCAATTAGAAGTCTAATTACTATTTTTATTTTCATCTAAGAGATGAGCACACTGGAACCTATAGTGGTCAGATACTTTGTCCAGGGTCTCCTAGGAAGTAACTCAGGGAGTTAGGGTCTGAACCTTGTTAATTTCCAGAGGTTGTTCTCTATTTACTGCCTCCCTACAGAGCATATACATTTAATGAAACCAGGTATTACTAACCTTTGAATGTTTTCCTTTCTTTGTAAAGCCAAGCAGTAGGTCACTGTTTTTTTACTGCTCAGTTTGATATACTTCTTTTACTAACTGTTGAGGGAGCAAAAGGCATATGTTTATTTTTTTTTAAGATTTATTTATTTATGCATAAAGAACTAGGATACAGGCCAGAGGTGTGGGCAGTAAGAGGAGTCACCAGAGACAGAGTGGGGAACAGAACAGGTTAATTGACTGAAATACACTGCTGAGGGGAGCAGTGGGTGAGTCAGGAGAAGTCTGCTGTGCCATGGGGGTAACTCCCTGGCTGGGGATCGAACTTGTGCTGCAGTGGCTGCGGATAGCTTCATAGGTTGCGTCTTAACCCCTTGAGCCACCAGGGAGGCCCAAAAGGCATACATTGAGACATGATAACACCTTACGTGTGTTGTACACAAGAGTTTAAGATGCGTCTTTACATATATTGCCTGTTTTATCCTCCCAACAGCATCTCATTCCATTCTCCCAGTAGTTAAGCCTTTACATCGACAACAATTATTTGCAACTTAACCTTTCTAAAGAAAATCTGTTTCTTTTTTTTCTTCCATATAAAATCTGGGATAATATTATTGTGCACCGTTTCTGAAGTTTAGTATCTACTGCTCCTTACAATCTATATAGTCTATGGAGACAGAGCCAGACACTCATACGGCAACTGTTACAAGTTCTCAGTAAATATTTGTTGAATAATTAAATATGTAAAATTTTAGTAAATACTACTATGTTACTGATTATTTGTTGATGCATTCACCTTAGTCTAATGAGTTTAAAGGAGAATAGGATATCATCTTTTTACATTGAGTATCCAGTGTGTGCTAGAGATTGTGCTAAGCATTTTTAATTTATATAATCTTTATCAACCCTGGCACCTGATATTTTTGATCAGATAATTCTTTGTTATCAGAGGGTGTTTGGAAGATAGTGAGCAGCATCCCATACTACTTACTAGATCCAAGTAGTGCCTCTCTCTGTCATTACCACAAAAATATCTCCAGACATTGCCAATATCCCCTTGGGTACAGGATCACTCTCGGTTGAGACCACTGTCTTAGGTGATACCCACAACTACACTTTTCAGATAGACATTATTTTTCCTGATTTTTACAGTTGAGCAATCCCAGTTCAAGGAAGTGAAATAACCTGCAGAGGCTCATTCAGCTAGTGAGGAATTGCAGTGCAGCTATATTCTAGATCTTCTGGCAGCAGTGTTTGTTGTATATCCACTTTATCACTATATCTCTGGCAGATTTTTAAGACAAGTAAGACACTGGCAAAAATCTCTGAAAGTGCTCTCTAAAATGGAAGATTAAATAAAATATGAAACATGCATTTTTCATTTATGTTGACTATATTTTCTGTCAGCTCCTCTAACTTGCATTGCAAAAGATCCCCAATAATTTATTTTAATCCTCCCTGTTTTTAGGCTGCTATGCTAATCTGTCACAGTTACTTAATTATGCCATTTCTTCTTTGATTTATAGTATTAGGCTATTCGTTATGTATTCATTTCTAAGGTATAACATAATAAAATAAAAATACATATAGTAAAATTAACCATAATTTGTGTACCCCTGCTGTAAGATATTGCTTATTTATTTATTATTTTTCTCCTCCCATTATGGAATGTAAGTTCTAATGGGGCAGGAAATTTGGTGGATTTACTCACTCCTGTATCCCAGCACTTAGAATAGAATCTCCTTAACTATGCTTGCTTTCAGAATTTTTCTGGCAGTTCTTGAACATTTCATACATACTCTCATATGACCCCTACCTTAAAACTTTTCATATTTCTACCTCAGATATTCTGATTGTGGTTTACCCCAATTCAAAGAGGAAGAGAACCAGAGTACATAAATTAAATGATTTCTCCTATTAATGCCTTATTTTCAGTCCCTGTATAACCCCCTAAAACAAGTGTCTTGCAGATATTATTCTTGTATTTTATTCTTCATTGAATCCCCAGTGGCTGGAAAGTGCCTAGGTTTTAAATACCTGGTAAATAATGATGAATGAATTAACACAAATTTTTTTTGGATCTTCAAAACAGTATCTGTCAAGATCCTGACTTTGGCAGTATGCTGTTTATGTTCTAGGGACAGCAGGAAATAGAAATCTCTGGGAGGTTCTGAGCAAGGAGAGGAGAAAAGTTTATACAAAAAGTTATGGGTGGGTGTCCCAAATAACGTGTTTGTGTGCACAAAGATAAAAGCCTAGAGGGATCTAGCCCCAAAGGTTAACATTTTGGAAAGGGAAAGAGAATGGGATTGATGAAGAGAGGGGAAGGATGATATATTTTTGTATGCATCCATGTTTGTTTTCCTATATGAATACTCTTCAATTTATAAATTCACTGAGCTTAAAAATTTATTTGTACAATTCCTACACAGGAAATAATTGAATTGGTTGAAAACAGACAAATTCCAACAAATAAATAGAAACATTAGTAAAGAATATATGACCAATATATGTGTATATGTAAATGATATATGTATACACATATTTACATATACATGTGTGTGTGTGTTTATATATATTTAAAAATGAGGCAGGAGAGAAGGGAATGGGAAACAGGAAGGAAATAACTTTGCCTGAAAATCTAACTTTTGCAATTCAGCACAAAATGCAACTTTCAAGTTCTTGGCAGATAAGGAAAAAAGAAAAGAGGAATATGTTAAAGGTACCAGTAAGAATGAAGGGTAAAATATACATCTAAAAGCTATTTGGACTAAACTTGGACTGACTTATCCTTTAGGTTGCGATGCACCATCAAGCACTCTTCTATTTTAGCAAGATACTGTAAGCATTATGTGTGATGACTTTGCGAATTACTTCTTACATGAGAAACTGCCTCTGAAAATGATTAACATTTCATTCAGTAACTGTGGTTTTCACAGACTACCTTCTAAAAATAGTTTAAGATGCTCCCATCCAAACAAAATTCATTTGCTTTTTTAAAGATGATACTGTGAGGGTTTTTTTTCCCTTGGATAGTTTTAGACATTGATTTTTGTTCATTTTAGTTTCAGCCTATGGGGACTGTGTGCCGAGAAGCAGTAAATGACTGTGATATTAGTGAAACATGCTCAGGAAATTCAAGCCAGGTAATTTACAGAATAATCACTCTAAAACTGATGGGGGGAAAAACAGGGGTATGGGTAATGTATTGATGCCCAGGCAAAATGTAAATGGACAAGATGCTCATATCTCTTATATCAACTCACTCTATTTTTCAGGAATCTAAGTTTCCATAATTAAAGCCTGAGCATATGTTCAGCATAATTTTGTCTTAATGTTCAACTAACTTAACACTGCATGAAGGTCTTAGATAATTTGTTTCATTTTAGGTAGGAAGTAAAAGGCATTTTCTTTTTTGTCTCATTAGTGAAAGAGGAAACAAAAAGACTCTTTGTATCCAGCTGGTTGAAACAGGAGCCAGCCCAGGCAGAGACCCCCCCAGATCTCTGGGTTATGGGAAGGGGCCTGTTTCTCTCTCTTGATTCTTGTTTATCTGAAACAGCTTATGTTACCTTAGCCATTAAGAACTGCTCTTGAATATTATATTGTTTAGTCATAAATAAAGAAGACAAGAAAACTGATAAACTTTGGCAAGGATTCGCAGATTTCACATGATCAATATATATATATTGGAATTCCTTGCTTTGCATGGTAGTATAGACTGTAAAAATGACTACAAGCTGAAACCATGTGAATTATCTTAACAGTTAATGGAAAAACTAAAATTGTTCTGTCATCTTTATTTTGTCAAACTATTAAAAACAGTCTTACTATTGATTTTTAATAAAAGGAAATGAAAAAATAAGTATTTTACAAACCAAATTAAATAATCATTGAGAATAAATTATTTCTTTGTAAAAAAAAGTATCAGTAGCTTGAACTGTATGTGCATTCTTCTTGTAAACTTTTTATACATAGTAAGCATCTGTTCTCTGCCTTGTTGAATTGTCAAACTCCTTTCTAATTTTGGATCAGCTTTCAACATTTTATCCTTTGTTCATTCAATGTCATAAAATATCTCCGAGAGATATGGAGATGTGACTGTGAAGTCTTTTGCCTATTTGCGGTATCAACATTCCTAATGTCAGCAACTTTTTCTGTAACTCCATTTACATTTGATTCAAATTTCTCTTCCAGTGGCCTCACTTTTCATTTCTTTGCTGCACTTTCATCTCCGTTGACCAGGTCCCGCTTTGATTATCCAATTTTGTAAAATGTCATATCCTGTCACCCACAGATAGAGAAGCAACATGCTGCACACTGTGTTTCTATGCATGAACTGAATGAACAGATGGGAAGTGACCATCCCTGACACACTTTGAAAGAAATGACAAGAGAGGTCATTGACTGGGCATCTTTTATTTACTTTGTTATGAGTAGACTGAAAAGCTGTGCTTTCTGCAGTTTCTCAGTTAATATATTGTGGTAACTGAAATTGGAACTGTGTCATTGGGTACTAGTATTACCTAACAAAATATTTGTAACTGAAATTTCATGCATTTTAGAACCATGCAAAGCACTGACTACCTGCATGTTTTTTTCCTCTAGAGAGAATTTAGTATTGCTATACTTAGCATTAACCATTAAAAATGTTTTATTTTAAAGGTAGTCATTTTCAGAGATTAATGATTATTTTCCTTTCTTACTACCTAATCTTCATTGTTTTTCTAAGCTACTTCCTCATAATGATGACAATACAATAAATGATACCTCATAGGTTTCTGGAGAAAATGCATATTAGAACACCCTCTTTGGAATATGATTAGATAGTATGTGGACTTTTTTTAAATCATAAATCAAAAAATGACATACACAAAAAGATGTTCTTGCTCCATTAGTGGTAATAACATAAATTGAAGATGATTACAAGTGTATAAAATTATAAATGAATACACTTAGTACATTGGTCATAATATTTGTTAGATCAACTCAACTGTGTTACAGCTATTAAAGATAAAAACTATAAAAAAAGTTTATTATTACATGAAAGAATTTGTGTGAAAGTAAAGGGAAGAAGCAGACTATAAATATTTTCTATAACCTGATATTCCTATCTTTAAAAATATCAAATTTTCTAGGAAAAGTTACAGAAAAAATATACCAAAATTTGACAGGTAGTTTTCTTTGTGTGGTGGGAATGAGAGTCCTCTCTTTCACTTTATTTTTAATTTGTGTTGCATTTTCCAACTTTTCTCATGTGTATATAATTACTATAATGATAGAAAAAAATGTGTAATAAATTTAAAAATTACTGTTTGTATATATCTACAAAAAAATGCTTTGCAATTTTCTGCAATTGCTGCCAGGTTGGGAGGGGGTAGTGGTGGAATAAGCTAAAAAGCATGTCCTTTTCTAACATGCCGAATAGAGGCTTCTGTTCAGAAGTCATTTTAAGTGTGAGGGACTGTGTTAGTTCTAATGAGAAAATAATAATAATTACTCCATTTATGTTGGTATTCTCTTTGCTTTTGTTTTATGTTCTTGCTTTTCTTGCTCTGAGGAATAGTGTATCTGTATAAAGCAAGATACTCTTTAATGTTAGCCTTAGCTGAGTCTTTGCTGTCAGTTCTTTTTATTTGTGACTATTTAATCAAATTGTTATCTCTGGTAGATCCATATTTTTTAAAGAAAAGTATACCAGTTGTTTTATTTCCTTTTGCTTTTTCTTGTTCTATTTGCATTTTACAGTCAGATGTTTTAGGAGACTAACCGTATTACTAGACTTTTATTTTTATGTCTAATCTCTATTTTAATTCATATATGGTTTTTCTTTTAATGAAAATACTAAAGTGATTAGCTCAGTCTGCTGTGCATGTAGTTCATAATTCTATTTTCTTGTTCTAGTGTGCCCCAAATATTCATAAAATGGATGGATATTCATGTGATAATGTTCAGGTAGGATACTTCATCTTTGCCTAAATTTTTCATGTGTATTAACCTGAAAGAAATACCTGAAATCTTAACAAAATATTAAAACCTCTTTTAATGCTTTGTGATCAGTATTGGTCATAAAAGGACTTTATAATTCTTATCCTCTAGATTTCCCAGCGATATTTAATTTTGCAGTACCTGACATTAGCAGACAATGAATTGCTAATGGGTATGCTTTTGCATTTTAGGGAATTTGCTTTGGAGGAAGATGTAAAACCAGGGATAGACAGTGCAAATACATCTGGGGGCAAAGTAAGTAAATGGTGTGGGTTGATTATTTTCAATGTCTGATATCAGGCCAACTTCTCAGGGGCATGTGAGATGGTAGTAAATTTTCAACCATTTTATGACCTGGGGGTTCTCAGAGCTGCTACTACTGCAGGCACTTTCATGGAAATTAGTGCCTTCTCCTTTGAGAAGACACAGTACCATGTATATATATCTTAGCTTGTTGACGGTGCCTTTGAACAATAAAGTTCATGCCTGCAAAAAAGAGCAAACCTGTAATTCAGCTCTACCAATGCTCTCTTCAGCTGAGGGTCTTTATGATTTCTCTTTACGATTAATGAAAACTCCTGAGTGAGGAATTCATGCTTTGTCACTGAGATTAAATCATGGAGTATTGATTCAAGGACCATTTGGTAGCATCTTCCCCTAATTATTGGCCAAATTTGGAAGAGTATTATTCATATAACCTGTTGCCTGAATCCTATCAAAGATCTAAATATATTTGTTTTCCAATTCCAAATGAGTAGTCCTGAAAAATATTCCTGAGTAGTGGATATCTGTGGAATAGGAAAACTCTGAACTATGGGCACACAAGTTTTGGAATTGATAACATTGCAGTGAAGAAAAATCCTTAAGTGGCAGCTCACCAGCTATATCCCTCACTGATTAAAAAAACTCTTTTCTGTTTCAGAGGTGATGGAATCAGACAAATACTGCTATGAGAAACTGAATATTGAAGGGACGGAGAAGGGTAACTGTGGGAAAGATAAAGACACATGGATACAGTGCAACAAACGGTGAGATGGAGAATTTAGTCTCGAATCATCCCACAGTTAGTTATAAGAACCACTTTTTCAAGTGACTAGGACTTCCTATTTTCTGCATTCCTCAAACATTCTGTTTCTCACTCACCTCCTCTCTTCTCAGTGTTCCAGCATCCTCTTCGCAGAAGGTTCCCAAATCTTTATACACACCCTGACTTCTCTTCTTTAATAAGGCCCAGGTGGTGTTTGCAGCTGCCTCCGATGTTTCTCACCTACAAGGTACCTGCCAGCATCTCCAAACCAACAAAAAATCAAAGCCGCTGGACTATGTACTCACTACTGTTGAATTGAATTAACTGACTCTGACTTTTCTAAAACACTGTTTTTGCAAAGGGTCTTAATATCACACTGCCCTTCTCTTTGGAAGTCTCAGAGGGATCCTTGACTTCACCTCCCCTCTGGCATATTGACCAAATGCCAAATCATGTTTGTTTATCCTTCTTACTCCCTTACCATTTGTCTTTAATTGATCCCTTCATTTCCATTTCTGTTGTATTACCCCAACTAAGACCTAAGCAGTTAATAACTGCTTAATTATGACAAAAGTCTCTTAACTATTACAGAAGTCTCTAGCATTATACCACAAAATAATCTTCTGCTGAGTCTTTTTGACTGTATCAATTCTTTGTTCAGATTTCACCTGTTCCATGTAGTTAACTATTAGTAAAAATATTAGCCAACATTTATTGAATGTATACTCTGTTCTTAGCACTCTGTGGCAGTTTACATAAGCCATGTCCTTTAATCTTTATGGCAGTTCTCTTCATTTTATGGAGGAAGAAACTGAGACAGAGTTAATTAATTTGCCCCAGGTCATGTAAATAGGATTCCATAGAAGCAGAATTAGAATTCAAGAAATCTGATTTTAGGATTTATCTTAACCTCTTTGCTCAATGCCATACTGTCCTGCTTAATAGAAAAAAATGGACTCTTAATTTGGCATTCTTATCTCTTCCACAACCTAAATTTTTTCTTTCTTTTCTACTCTTCCAAAGCCAACTCTCCTGTTCCAAACATTTGCATTATGTTGTCCTATCTCCGTGTCTACACTTATTCTAGTCTTTCCTCTGGAACCACTCCTTTTCTCAATCCATTACAAGTCAAACATTTATCCATCCTTCAAAGCCCTGGTTGGATGTCATTCTCTCTATAAATTCTTTCTGAGTTTATTTTAGAAATAAAATCATTTTTTCCTCCTCTGAATACCTATAGTCCTTTATAGTAATCTTGTGACATTTGTTTCCAATTCTATGTTTTATAGTTGTTTATGTATGTGATTCCACTTCTCATCGGCATATAATTTCATTGAAGGGTAAAGAGTATATCTACTTTTCTTTATCCTAAAGTAATTATTAAGCTCCATATACCCAAATGGAACTCAAAGACTGTTGAATGAATCTTTTCTGTTGAGAAAGCATATTTATTGACATTAACTACAATGAAGTGATTATATAACTTAAAAAATGTTTTTTAAGCATGAATTAATACATCCTTTTTTCTCTGTTGGTGATAGACACACTGGTTCTAATTTTTCCCTATCTGATAAAGTTTAATATTTCCATATATAATCTTGATGATCAATAATCAGTCTTCACAACATATTTATTGAAATAAATGTTTTTAATCTATGTTAATAATGAAAATTTGTTAAATGTAGAGAATATATATGACAATATTTAACACTAGTGAAAATATTTTACAAGTTAAATTGGAATTATGTATGATAGTTAGAATAGTAGGAAACCTACTGAAGAAGGGATCGTTAGAGAATGAGAATTTGAGAATCTATGCAATATGTGCGATATATATATATATATTTCTTTAATTCTGAAGCAATGGTTGAAGAAAGAGTTGTGTTCCAAAAGAATATTCATCCAAAGGTCATTCATTTCTTTATGAAATTTTAAAAAAGTTTTAGCATTTCCTGTGATATGTTATCAGTGAAGAGATTCTGACAGATAAAGATGTCTGTTTGATGGATAATTTCCTTTAGACAAATATTTGAACCAATAGACAGTAAAAGAAAAGCCTAGAAAACGACTAGGATCTTGGCGCAGCAGAAGCATGTCACCCTTTAAATCAGGAGATAAAATAATTTGAGCTTATTTTGTTTGTAATTTGAGTAAATCATGTAGTTGATGAAAAAAATGCTAAAATGATGTAAAATTAGTGTTCTACTTGGTTTGCTATATCTTTGGATAAAGAAGTAAAGTAAATAATTGGTACTCTTTTAACACAGGGATGTGCTTTGTGGTTACCTTTTGTGTACGAATATTGGTAATATCCCAAGGCTTGGAGAACTGGATGGTGAAATCACATCTACTTTGGTTGTGCAACAGGGACGAACATTAAACTGCAGGTAAGTGTCTAACCATTCTGTGAGAACTTTAGTTGTCTTACTTTGAGGAAATGCAGTTTAGGATTACTTCTGTTTCCAGCTTATGTGCATTTTAATAAGCCCAAATAGAATCTAATACCTAGGGTTGATTGGGTAAATCCTGACAGAAAAGGGATGAAAAGAAGATAAAAATTATTTCATGTGAAATATTGTGAGGCTGTTAGAAATATGTTTAATTGGTCAGTGAAATCCTGCAGAGTTTAATTTGTTTTTCATTCTTATTAAGGAAAAGGAATTGGGACTCCTAGGTAAAATCAGTAGATTAAATATATGCTTTTTTTTTTTTTTTGCTGCCTTCTGAAATCCCACTACAATGACACCAAATGAATCTTTTAAAGGAATTTACATATCCACAGTTATACAGAGAAAGGGAGAGGACAAAACAGCAACAAAGGAAAACAAATGGATCTGTGGAAAACAATTATTAAAACTAAACAAGCTGAATTCCTGTCAGTAATGGGAAAAACTGAGAACTAACCCAGTATGTACTATCAGATCTCCAAAGGCTCAAAAAATTGCAGCATCATCTACTTCTGGAAGAGGAAGTAAAACATTTTGGGGTGGGGAAAGAGCTAATATAAAGAAAAGTGGAAGTCTGCTAAATAACCAGTTAAATCCACAGAATTTCTTCTCTGACTCAGCTCAACTGGGGCTTTTTCATCTGCCTTGAAAGATTTGAGGGTTATAGTCTCTTTAAATTATTTTTATATATTTATTACATCATCCTTCATTTTTGTACAATGTATGATTTCCCTGTGAAATTCCTACTACCAATTCACCCGTGCACCATAGTCCCTTGTGTTCTTCCCACCCCTGTCCTGATCCCTTTCCCTCCTCCTCCCCTACAGAATGTCTCTGATCAATGGTTGCCTGTTGATTTTGGTTACTTTATTATAGTTATTTTCTTTCCTGATCCCTTATTTGCTTCTTCTACATTCCTCCTATAAGTGAAACCATCCGATATTTTTCTTTTTCTTTCTGGCTTATTTCACTGAGCATACTCGATTTGAGGGTTATATTCTGCAGCAAATAAAACTTAAGGTTTCCAAACTGAAAGGACAGCAGGTGATACTGATATTAGGGTTGCGTGGAGTTGAGCCATCCTCATTGATGGTTAGTCAGAGGAATATTTAAAAATACCATCATAAGATTTCAGAACTTTAGAACAAGGAAAAGAATCCCAAATGTTTCCAGAGAGAAGGGAACAGAAAGATTAGATATTAAATGGCTTAGGATTTATCAATAGGAACCCTGGAAATCAGAAGACAGTGGAGAAAATGATTTCTATATTAGAATTCTGTATGCAGGTAAATGATCAATCAAGTGTAAGGATAGAAAAGAAAGAAACTTTAACATGTGCAAATTTACCAAAATGTGCTCCCTTCTGCCCTTTTGCAAGAAGCTTCTGGAAATTGCACTCTACTAAAATAAAGGAATAAGCAAAGAAAGAAAAACACATGGATTTAGGAAGCAAGATGCCCACTACTAACAGACAGGGAATGATGGTGATGGTAGGCAATCCAGAATGTGTAACTTTGCACCAGGTTCAGGGGACAACCATATTAGAAAGTAGTAGGAAGAACTTCAGAGAGACTTCAGGAGCGATTTCTACTAGTTGATGATTTGATGTTCTGACACATATCTTGAATGGTGTTCCCAGTATGAAGGACACCTGGATAAGTGTTTATTTGGCAATTTTCTTAGGATTGTAGCTCAGGGAACAAATCCAGAAAACACTTAAGTGTGTTACCAAATTGCCCCAGGCTAGGGAGCATTCATATAGACAAAAATACTGGCTAGTCCATAGATTTGCTTTATGCAAATCAGGTTTTCAATGAATACATTTCTGACTGGTGGAAAGTTCTCAAGAGATGATTGGTGGAGCTTTGATCCTGGATCATCCCTGGCAGCTGGCTTTGTCTCAGTACTTTCCCAGAGATAGATGTATCTGAGCATGACTGGACATGCCTGAGCCTGTCTGAACATCCCTGGGGTCCGAACCTGAATAGCCTCCAACTCTGTTTTAATTACACAGATGCAAATGATTCTGAGATGTTTCATATTTCTTGTCAAGAGATTTTGACAGCAATGTTACATTAGTTTTGAGTTAGTGATAAATTAATAGGAAAATAATCAAATAAACAATAAACAAGATACTTGATAATCTGAAAGAAAGTGAAAAGTTATATGGGGGGAAATGGTTTAATTGTGACATACTATATTTCTCAGCTGAAGAACATTCAATATTATAATAATGAATGTATTTTTTATTGATTTAGCAAAATTTATGATGAGCAGATAGAGGAAAAGGTAAAGTATCAAATTCCATAGAGGGAACAGATATACCTAAAACAGAAAAATTAAAAATAGTAGTACAAATTCATTATTTAATGATATGTGCATAAAAAAAACAGAAGAATCAATTAAGAGTAAAAAACAGTTTCGTACTCCATGTAGATTCCTACAGTATGTATTTCTCAAAATATTTAAAATAGGTCTCACATATGATCCAGCAATTCCATTCCTAGATATCTATCAAAAAATGCAAAAACACTAATTCAAAGGGAAATATGCACCCCTGTGTTTGTTGTAGTACTATTTACAATGGCCAACTTATGGAGGCAACCTAAGTGCCCAAGTGCAGACAAGTGTCTTAGGAAGATGTGGTATCTATACATGGTGGAATACTACTCAGCTATAAAAAAGATGAACTCTTGCCATTTTCCACACATGGATATAATTGGAGAGGGATAATGCTAAGAGAAATAAGTCAAGAAAAAGACAAATACTGGATGGTTTCACTTACATGTGGAATATAGAGAAAGAAAATAAAGGGTCAGGCAAAATCAAACCAATAACAAATCCTAAAAATCTGACTGTAGAATTGAGGCTAGTAGAGGGGAAGAGAGAAACTGGAGAGCAATATGTGGAGGGTGCCCAGTGGACTATGGTAAAGGACTATGGGTGCTTTGGTGGTGGGTGTGGTTGTGGTAACATACTCTAAAAAGGTGTGATCCGCTCTGAATCATGTTATACACCAAAGTTACCTCAATTAAAAAAAAAGTTCTATCAATAGAAAAAAGATAGTTTCTTTCAAGAAAGGATATGAAGAGAAGTAGGAACAGCAAATTGCTTTATTGTATTTAAAAAACAATCTTACTTATTTTTTATTTCTACATTATATGTGGGCTTACTGTATTGACTGGCGAGGTTACATTAATTTAGCATTCTCAAATACAACTTGCAAATACAGGAATTTTTTTGGAGATGTAAAATAAAACTAGTTATCCTCCTTGTTTGAAATACATTTGAAATTTTGAGATCTGCTTTATACCAGATCAAATGCTAGTAGTAATGACTTATTTAACTTGTACATGAGAGTCAAGGCAAAATGATAAAGCCATTTTTCAATTCAGGACCTTGTTATGATATTATCTTTAAATCCAAATATATCAATATCTCCAAACAGAATTAAATCAAATAATTCAATTGTTTTCTGCATTTAGAGGTTGACAATGCTTATGCTACTGGCTTTTATTTGATAACAATAGAAAAAAGAGATGCTACCTATTTTTTATCATACTCGCAAAATGAATATGAACTAATGGAATCCAACTTTGCTATCTGTTTTTAGTGGTGGGCATGTTAAGCTTGAAGAAGATGTAGATCTTGGCTATGTGGAAGATGGGACACCTTGTGGTCCCCAAATGATGTGCCTAGAACACAGGTGTCTTCCAATGGCTTCCTTCAACTTTAGTACTTGCTTAAGCAATAAAGAAGGCACTGTTTGTTCAGGAAATGGAGTAAGTATTCAGTACATTATCATGGGAAACTATTGAGTTATTTAATATCACTGAAGTAGACAATCCTAAAGTGTTTATTTCCTTAATAATGGAAAACATTTCTATCCATATTTCTAACTGGTATATAAATAGTTGTTTGGTCATAATCAGTTGAATATTTCTGCTGTGAATTCTTAAAAAGCCTGAGAATAAGATAAGAGTAAGTATAATCTTCCTAACCAAATTCTTCCGTCCTTTTTATTATTTTAATGTGATCTTGTTTGACAAGCTAATTTTCAACAAATGATCTAAGAGTCAAATTTTAACAAACTATAATAAGATAGAAAAGGTTGTAAAAAGAAGGGACAGTGACCACAATATTTAGCAACTGGTAATGATCCAGGCACTGACTGGTGAGAGAAGATCATTGTGTGTCAGTTTAGGGTAACTCATAGAAATAAGAGCAGAATCTTTTTGGAAATTATTTCTCAAAAACAAATAGAAAGAATATCATTGCTTATAGTTCTTTTAGTTATATAGCTGATAATGTAGATCCTCTATTAATAAGTTTATAGATTAAGTAAAAATGCTCCATTAGTGATTTGTCATATTTTTAGTTAAGTTTTGTCATATTTTTAGTTAAGAATTCCTATACTAACAAAATCTTTTTTTGTCCTTTTTGACATATACTTTAATTCTCTTTTTACCCTTATTCCATATTTCATGCTTGAACTGGTTGTGCATTATTTTGGTTGAGGAAAAGGATTCCTATCTTGGAATTATAAGACTTCAATCCTGCTCATTCTTTGTATATCCCTGTAGCATATGCCAGGAATTCCCTTACAGAGTATTACTAATTGTTGTTCTTTGCCAAGAGGTAGGAATTTTTATACCACATGAGAATACGGAAGACATCTATTAAGGAATTCTGATCCTTAATGGGGTCCCTTAAGTTTCCTCTCCTTAGTAATTGAGAGGACATTAGAAAGAAATGCTTTTTAGAATGTAGGAGAAAAGAATAATGGATTTTTTTTTTATCATTCATGCTAATGAATATATCTTATTCCTCTAGAAATCCTGAGTCTATAATACAGAGACCAGGCATAGTTAGTTGTGTTAATTAACCTTTTGTTTAATGAATAAAAGAATGATAGACATAAGTAAATCAGTTGATAAATAGCATCCAGGTCATTTACAATAATTATTCATAATACAGAGGATTATATAGTATGCATTTTTAACTTATAACTGTGTATGTCACAAAATTTAAAATGAGAAATACAGTAGATATTCTCCATATACTGTACTATATATCATGTATTTAAGAGTGTGGGCTTGTACTTGCTACCTGTGTCTGATGAGTGTTTGGAATGAGAACAATCTCAATCTCTGATTGAGATGGGCCATAAATGTAAAATCCACACCAGATTCTGAAGACTTACTGAGAAGAATGTAAAATAGATCAGTGTATTGTTTCATCCTGGTTACTTGTTTAAATGGTAACAATTTGAGTATATTATGTTAAATAAAATAAATTTAAAAAAAAGTATAGACTCGGAGTGAAACCAGCTCTGCTTTTTATTAACTGGTTAAGACTGAACTTACTTAGCCTCTCTGTGACTCAGTTTCTCTCTGTGTAATGGGAAATATTGTCAACTTTACAGGATTGTTGCAAATAATCAATGAATTGCTACTTATAAGTTAATAATTAAAACAGTGCCTGGGATGTAGTATATATTCAGTGTAGGTTTGCTCAGTTAAATAAATGTTTATTGTACAAGGGTATCACTATCTGTTCTTGTTACTGTATCACTAATACTGTTGTACAAGATGGCAACTGGTACTTGGAAAAACCATGTAATCTGAAAAAGATTTGTTGGTAAGATAGTGCTGAAATGGGGACTTAACCCCAGGCCTTTTGATCATTTTTCCTGCATATTGTTAACTTATGAAAAATTGTTAATTTGCATTAATTTCACATATGCAATCCATTAATCGTATTTTATATTTACATTTAAATATTGGTTATGTCATCTTCTGGAAAATTAGATCAGATAATGTAACAAACTCACTCAGTGAAATTCTGCCTTCTGAAGAACTTCTCTGATCTTAAACCTAACTGAATTCTCTCCGATTTTCCATTCCATTCACTGTTTTGAATAATAAATTCTAGGTATAGCTTCTGTTTCATGGATGTATAAATGAAGACAGATTATTTTCTTGTAATTAAAAAAACATGCTGCCATTTTTATGTGATTTTTTTTTGTTTGAAGGAGTTCTCAGGTCCTGAGATATCTAATGTGTATAGCTTCAGTGCCAAAGTTATAGCTTTGTGAGCTTTCATCTCAGACCACTGCAAAGCACGAGGCTGCCCCTCTTGAATTTCTCTATTGCTTCTGCTTCCTAAAAAATGAATAAAATTTTGGCATAAAGACCCTTTCTTTGGAAGAAAGAATCCTTTATATTGGATAATTGGCAAATGATTGTATTTCTGCCTCTTTTTAATTCTCCTCTTACAAAATTTAAGTTAATGAAATTCAGAAAAATAATTTCAGTGATTTTTTGACATATAAACTCTTCTATTAAAATTCATGCTACCCTTCCCCTAACCATTTATCTCTAGAAAACATTTTTTAGATACTTGAGTAAGAAATAAAGTAATTCACCTTGGAGAAATGATTTTTCAGTATCATCAAATTCTAGGCATGTGATAATTAGAAATTTTTATTTTTCTTGCCTCTACCAGAGAGTTGACATTTACTCTAGATGATTTTGTATTTCCAGGTTTGCAGTAATGAACTGAAGTGTGTTTGTAACAGACACTGGATAGGTGCAGACTGTAGCACTTTCTTCCCGCTCGATAATACGAAGAATGGTGATTTAACTCTGGCTGGCAACGGTAGGTACTTGGTTTGGTACCATTATGGAGTCTTCATACACAAGGAAAGAGAAAAATTTAGACAGTTACTTTTCTTTTTATTTTTTTCCAAAATAATGGACAGGTTTATTAGGAAAAGGAGAAAGGAAAAAAGAGAGACACCTGCATAGTCACAGGTGCTCACGGAGGCAAGCTGCCTCCACATAAAAATGAATTAGAATATACAACTGGGGTCTATGTTTGAAACTGATCATTTCCATTGTATTGTAATGATATGTAATATTGACTATAACTTACTCTACTGATTTAGCCTTATCCTGTATCAAACTGAGATTTTTTCGAGCATTGTACTTGTTTGGGGCTAGCAGCAAAGCCTAGCTTTTTTTTAAGTGAAAAGATTAGTTGTAATTCCTAACTCAGAATTTTATATTCTGGGATTAGATAAGATAAAAACAATTAAAGAATTGGTTGTTAAATATTTTCTTGACGTTAGCTTTCTTTATTGTAGAATCTCATCTAAATTCAACTCCAGGTCTGTTGCCTGAACTGTACGTCAATCTAAAAGTAGCAAACTTGGCCAAAGTGCTTGGAAAGGGGTTTAAAGACATGAATAAGAAACAACAAGCAAATTTCTAAAAAGCAGAGTGGCCTAAATGGAGAAGTAGGAATTAAGTGCACATAGTTGAAAGAAAACATACATTGGAGGTTAATGTTCTTTATTACACTTTTTATCATTTCATTATTCCACAATAAATAATGCTAAAGGCATTTCACTACCAAGGAATGAGAAATAGGTAGTGTTTATCATAAGCATCCAGATGAGTAAAAAATGTTAGGCTAAGTGATCTTATTAAACAAGTTAAAAATGATTAAGATATTGGCATCCCAAGTCTTACAACGGTAGTGTGGAGCTTGTTCTAGCAATTAATACAATGGTGCAGCTATTCAGGTCCATGTGTTTATGCAACTTGTCAAAAATCACACCATAGTAAATAATGGTAAATCACTCAAAAAAGACAGCATGCGTTATGTACCCAAAAAACCCCCACCAACAACATGCCATTACTTAAAAATAATCAAGACCTGCTTCTAAATTTGCTGATCCATCCTAAGTCCCTAGAAGAAAAAGAGGGGACGACAAATATGCTAGGTCTAAAGAGTAGGAAAACCCCAGTACCACAGGAGGCCCTCTAGAAACTGCATACACTCATTTCACAGAATACCTGGGAAGGGTAGAATCTGCTAGTCTCTTCAGATGTCCTAACCCTGCCTTCTTATATGACTACTGAGGGCTTCCAGGCAGAAAGACTGCCACTTCTGTCATGGATTATTGGAGTCTGCTCAGTTGCCCTCAGTTACTGAACTTTAATATCTAGAAGGATGCCTCAGGGGTGCAACACACAAAGAAATCTGAACTGTTGTGGGTGAAAACCTTGCCATTTAACATGTGGTGAAATTAACATCAGTAAAACCAATCTCCTGGTATCAGTCTTTAATCTGCCTGTTCTGCTCTTGGGCCCTTAACTTGTTAACCAAGACTTTCACTCGTTGACTGATCTGCCTGCATTGATCCCCTTATGGATTGCATCTCAGTCTGACAATGGGTGCTGCCACAACAATGCCATTTCCAGGTCTTGAGTTTTAGACTGACCTCTGACCACCCTGGTGCCACTTGACTCTCATGCCACATCCATCTCCAGAACACTAGACTCTTTTATCTTTATTTCATTTTTTCTTTCTTTTGGATGTAGCAGACATCATTTCTAAGACTGGGAACTGCATTCCCAGTACTTTCATAATCTATGCCAGCTAAGTACTGATTGTATAACTTTGTAGCCAGAGTTATCATAAGCACCCAGATGAGTAAAAAATGTTAGGCTATATTTTCTTTGAGGGAAAAAAAAATCTCTCCCTCTCTCTCTCTCTCCCCCTCCCTCCCTCCCTTCTCCCTTCCTCCCTTCTTCCTTCCTTCCTTTCTTTTTTTTTATTGAGGTAACATTGGTTTACAACACTGTAGGTGATTCAGAGGCATAGGATCATGCCTCGTCAGATGCATGCCACCAAACCACACCCACCACCAGAGTCCATTGGGCCCCCCCTCACTGTGTTTTCTCCCTCCTCCTCTTGTAACCTTCCTTTTTGCCCCTATTTTTACACTTCTTTCTTTTAGTTCAATGACCTCATCATATTTTGCAGAAATAAACATGGAAAAATACAACTGTGCAAAATGTATTTGAACAAAAATTAAGAGGGAACATAGATGAAAATTATTTTTAAAAATTTGATGTGGGTTGAAAATTTATAGTTGATTTTTCTTCCTTTTAAAGTACTTACTTTTTACAATAAATAATGTTAGTGTGATGATTATAAATACGGAGAATAAAGTTCCTGAAAGAATTTTATATCAAAATTTCAATTATATGTACTTATCATCATTGTTTCCTTTCTCCCCCCCCAGGTGTTGCTGGTACCAATATCATAATAGGCATAATTGCTGGCACTATTTTAGTGCTGGCCCTCATATTAGGAATAACTGCATGGGGTTACAAGTAAGTGAAATATCTATTGTTACTATCAAAATATATTTTTAAACTTTATTTTTTGATGAAAACATCTGGGCAATTTTGTATCATTGGATAAGTATATTTTCAATGAAAATCAGTCTGGATCAAAGTTCAATAAGTGATTATTCTTGGCATAATTTGAGGCAATAATAATTTTATAGATTTTGACATGACTTCTAAAAGTATTGAATATTACTTTAAATTACTAGGTGAGAGAAAATAAATCTAAATTATCTACAAAGGCTGTGTTGGTTTGCACCTTTTTTTTTAAAAGATTTATTTTATTTATACAAGAACTGGGGTACAGGCCAGATATGCAGGAAGGTGAGGGGATTCACCAGAGAGAGAGCGGGGAACAGAACAGGCAGACTGGGCCTCCCCTGATGGCGCAGGTGGTTGAGTGCAGTGCTGTGAAGCTATCCACAGCTTCTGCAGCGCCTGTTCAATTCCCGGCTGGCGAGGGTCCCACATGGCAAGGGCAGACCTTTCCTGTCTTACCTGCTGCTCCCCTCAGCAGTGTATTTCGTCAGTCTGCCTGTTCTGTTCCCTGCTCTGTCTCTGGTGAATCCTCTCACCCTCCCGCACATCTGGTCTGTACCCTGGTTCTTGTGTGGATAAATAAAAAAAATCTTTAAAAAAAAATTAAAAAAACAGAAAAAAACGCATAAGAATAGGCAGACTGATGAAATACACTGCTGAAGGGAGCAGCGGGAGAGACAGGAGAGGTCTGCCTCGCCATGTGGGTTGTTCCGAGGCCTGCTGGGATCGAACCGGCACTGCAGAGGCTGTGGACAGCTTCACAGCACGGAGCTGCACTGCATGCACCACCAGGGAGGTCCCTGCTTTGCACCTTAATGACATAGAATCTCTTAATTTAAACTCATATCCAGAAATCTAGGCAAGATAGTCAATAAAGAACATAATACTTTAATAAAACCAGCAATAATTATAGTAACATTGGCAAGAACAACATGTTCAATGTAAAATTTTTGTTTCTATTTATAAGTTTTGTAAGTTACAAATTGGGGCCTCTCTGGTAGCCTAGAGGTTAAGTTTTAGTGCTATTACTGCTAAGGCCTGAGTTTGATCCCCAGACAGTGAGCTAACCCAAATATGGCACAGCAGACCTCTCCTATCTCACCTGCTGCTCCCCTCAGCAGTGTGTTTCAGTAAATATGCCCATTCTGCTCCCCATTTCTAGCCTAGTTCTTTTACACAAAAATAAATAAAGTCTTTAAATTAAAAAAGTCACAATTTATAGAACTTTGGATATTTGATTCCTTTAAACATTTACCTAAGTAAATGCTCTCAACATTTCAGACATATCTAAATATATTATACATTTAATATGTTTAATGTTTAATTTCCTTTTAAATACTTAAATTTTATGAAGTAAAAATGTCAAATAATTTATTTAAGTTAAAGTTAAATATGGTAAACCTTAACCTTAATAGTCAATGTAAAATCATAGTTCTGCTAATCTCTGATGATTATTTCATATCTCCAGGCCTAAGGTGTTTCTCCATTTGGAAGGTCTACAATTTTTGCTGGATATTCTGGGCATTGCCCCCAACTTTATAACATTTTCTACCCTCATGTATCAAACTTTAATTCACTGAAAGTCATGGGAATTAGAATATTTTAGATTTTAAAATTACCTTGGCCCTCTCAATAGAGTATGTATTATATAATTATTTGTTGTCATTATAACCTGACATTGTTTTAAGCCAATTAAATTAAAGAACAAAGTTTAAAGTGGTATATGGTGGTTGCTCATTGGTCAAACCTTAAAAGAATTTCTTTGACAGAAAAGAGACAGCAGTTTATTGCAGGAATAAACTTTGCATGCTGTAAGAATTAAACTACAAAGACATTTGTGGAAGGCTATATTAACAAATAACACAGACTGAGTAATAAAATTTAGCCTAACATAGTTACATGGCATAGTCTAATGAAAGAGACCATTGTAATAATATAATGCTTTGTCCTGATTAAATGAGGACCCAGCCCTGTGCCAGTTCACAGCAGATGCTCTATACCCATTGGCTTCTTTGATGTGCAGGTCATTAGGTTTATTACATACTTATATTTGCACAGACTGATTTCAGCATAACATTTGCAGTAATAAAATAATATCTCTTAAAGGACATTTATCTTTGTGTATTTATCATTTAAATGCTCCTCACACTTCAGGTGAGTTAGCCGCATCTTGGGATCACAGTCTTCAGCTTCTCTGACACAAGTAATTGCCATCACAAACATTGATGTTTTTGAATTAGAATGGTTTTCTTTGGTCATGGGAAAATGAAAAGCAATATTGTTAGTTCTGTAGTGTGTGATTTCTTGCCACCTAGTGATGCAGGTTGATATTTCATGTTTGTAATTTCAGAAAAACTCTCAAAGATTATATAACCTAAACATGGACTCCTATTGCTAATGAAATTACCTGCATAGTCTTGTTTTAATGATTAGAGTTAGAAGGCTTTCATTCTGTGTATAACATCTCATTCTTATGAAATTATTTTGAGGTTTCATGTTCCTTTTTTTTCATTTCTGAATATATGCATTTTTCAGATTAGTTAAGGAAAAAGATATATCTTGTTCATACTACAATATCTTCTTCATAAATAATTTGAACATAAATGATGAATATTTTAATGTTACTAAAATTATTCACAATGTGTTCAAAATGAGAATGTAGAAATTTTATTATAGGAATCAAATACATTGAATATAATGTTTCCATTTGAAATTTAAAAATGAGAACTCATTTTCTCATTAATCTTTCCAATTAAACTTTCTACCCCTTCACCAAGCCTTGGAGTGAGGGACTAGCAGGAATAGTAAATGAGGAATACTTATTTGGAATTGGCGGACCACTCAGGTAATCAGATTGTGAGACTAAAAAGCAAAATATGTTGAATAGAAAGACTCCGGGCTTATTTTTTACTCATATCTGATGGTGTTAGTATTGAAAATTATTAAGTAAAAAATTGGCACCTTTACTCTCTGGTGCTCATTATTAAACATGATACTTAGAGGGCATCCGAAATAGATTGTCAGGTAAAGGCACTACAAACAAAATCCAGGTGGAAACCTTATTTTTGATTGTAGAAGAAGGAAGGAGACTACCTCTTAGTTGCTTAACCTTTCTTAAAAGTCTTCAAATTATTAACAATTTCATTATAGAACATTAATAACTCTTTTGAGTTAAAAGTTGTTCACCCTCCAGAACTACACTACAATAATCTGTAGGAAACATTTATGTAAAAGATCATTTCTCTTGAAGCTAATGTAAATTGATTTTAATATATGGTTAAATAAAAAACAAAGGCTAAACTCTGACCAAATGTGAAACTGTTACTCAGTTCACTGAGTAACTGGTAATAACTTAGTTTCATAGCAGCAGTGAATTAACTCACTTTATCATACATAATAAAATAAAATGTTCTAGTGGTCACTTATCTTCTCCTGTTAGAGGGTCTTAGAAAGAGCTTTGGGATTGGGGTCAGAATGGGGGGGCTGCAATTGTATGGAGAATATAACAATAAAATTTATTATTTAAAAAAAAAAAGAGCTTTGGGGTATATAGTCCAAAAGAAATAAATTATGATTGCTATTTCCATGAAAACAGTTAGTTTATATAGGTAACTTGATTAATTCCATTAAATCAATGCCCTTGTCTAAAATCCTGTATTTGAAATGGAGTTTGCTTTAGGGCATTACTAAATGTTTAAAATGATACAATTGATAATTGAGAAAACAGTGTGCTTTAATAACTGAAACTTATTTATGCTTTTAAAATAGATGTTTAATTAAAAATATGGTCACTAACCCTTTGATGTCACTTCTAATAATGAAATGTTTATGTGTATGTCTGCATTTGTATTCACCGTTTTAATTCTGCAGTTCTAAGGCATCTTGTGGATATATTTCAATGAATGCTAGGGCCTTTTTGTTTCATTCTCCCTCTTAATGTACCTCCAAAAGTAACTAATTCTTTTTTTTCTTCCTCTTTCTTGTCTATGAAAAGAAACTATCGAGAACAGAGGTATGTGATGAGAATAATCTGAAAATACAATTGAAAGGTTTAAATCTTTTTAGCATCTTTGGAATAATACAGTTATATCCAAGTTCACTTTATTTTTATGCTGCAATGATTATAAATGAATCTTGGTTTTTCATGTTCTTGATGTAATAATTTTAATAACGGTGCTATGTTACGTATTAATATAAAATCAGTCTATTATAATTTTAATGGTTCTTTCATCCAACAGTACTGCAATTAGTAGAATTTACTTGTGTGACTTTTATAGTAATATGTATGGAAATATAGTAATATGTATGGATTTTTTTCCATCTGAAACAAACTTCCTGTATGTTAAGGTGTCACTTTCATTTACATTAATTTATTGGCTTTCTTCATGTTTATTACACATTTTTTGCTAACACTTTCTGAGACAGTTTATTTTTTATTTGTTACTGTTATATTAATAACATCTTTTCATAAGTGATAAACTGCATTGGACCCAGTATTGTGGTCCTGGCAATTGATATGCCCGTTTACCTCTGCATAAGAAAATTCTTTTTGTACTAATTGGTATTTGCACTGGTAGTTAAGAAAGAACTTACATAGTTGGAGAACATACATATTCAGTGTACTTTCACTGAATAAAAAAGCCTGTCAAGAAAGTAAAATACACTATTCATCATAACTTTACAATCTTTGTTTAACCAATTGCATAGAGATAGAAATCATTCATCTCGTTCTCTAAGAATTGACTATTTTTTCTGTTAGCCCATATTGTAAGTTAGTCCTTTCATAATTCACATTTTAAAACTAGCTCATATAGTACTAGTTTTGTACTCAAGATAACTATGCAGATTACTACTTTACTTAACTTTTCCCACTTTTCCATTAAATGCCTATCACAGCTTAGGAATATGAGGTAATAAACATGGTGGTACTTTTTCAGGCCTGAACCAGGGCTTTTATTTTTCCACAAATTAAAATTTTAAACTGTAATGTTGTGTTTTTCTGGCCAATTAGATATTAGCAAATATTGACCTTGCCTTGGAGTAAGTAACTGTTAATAGAAGTAGTGAAACTTAAAAACAACTAGATTTCTTTGTGACATGTTTTAAACTCTTATGTCCAATAACTGGAGAAGAAATGGAATCATATAGACTTCTGTTGGGTAGAAGTTGACAGTCATATAAGAAATCTGGTGACTTTCTTTAGTGAAAGTAAAATTAGATTAATAAGATAAAAACAATTATGATTGTTTTCATAGAAGCTAAAGTTATAATGTAACTTAAATATTGTTGACTATATTAAAAGGAAAGGAAAATGTTGCAGGTATGTAATATAAGCAAAGCTAAAACAGTACCGTAAGACATATTCTCACCAGGGATTCTATCTAGAATAAGGGAATTACCCATATGATTAACATATGATTAATATGTAAAACTGTACACCAATTTCTTATTCTAACAATACATGCATAGCAAAGTTAGGAATATTTTCACATTAAGAATATCCTTTATGTAATTGATAAAATTTCATGCCTTCTGCTATTATAGGATCTCCATTTCATCAACCTGGTTACTTTTTTTGGGTTCTCATTTATGTTTTTAAAGTTGTCACTTCCCCAGTAGATACTTCTTTTTCTGTATTTTGGTATATTTCAACACAACCTTTATTTATTTTTGTCCTTGTCCATAGCTAATCAATCTTAGATTTATACAATAATTCTCAAAATGGAGTAGTAAAGAAATGAACCTTAGATCAGGAAGTTGTTAATATGTAAATATCCTAAAGATTTTTCCTTTTTTGAGAATATGTTAGTGATTATAGAGAAATTGGTAACACCAATGGACCAAAGCATGCATTAAGATATTTATAATCTTGTAAAAGTATCTACATATACTCAAATAAAGATGTGTCCAGAGCTAGAGGATAGCAAGAAGTATAAATAAGAAATTTCAGTTGTCCTTGTCTTTAAATTAAGTTTACTTTGAGGTCCATGATAGGAAAACCAAATGACAAGGAATCAAAATTCACTTGCTACTATGTGATCGTGGGAAATCACTTGAACTTAACTTGAAAATCTGATGTTCCTTGTTATTGTAAAGCATTATTGTCAGGGAAGTTATTAGTATCTGGTCTCTGGAGACTGTGTTTCTCTGATCTTCATGGTTCTTCTCCCACACGGAGACAGCACCTATTGACATGATTAAAGTCCACATGTACTGGTTGAACTGGTCAAAGTGTTGGTGAACTTAGCTTTGGTTCCGACATTAAATACAAGACCATACTTAATATGTAGCCAGAATTTTTACATATCATATATTAGATGGATGGCTATTTTTTCCTCACAAAGGAAGACCTCCACAATTTTTTTAGTTTATGCTATTATTAATATTGCAGTATCATTACTTTAGAATTTAGGATCTGTATGCTTTGTAACAAGGATTATAAATTTGAGTTTTCAGGAATATTTACAAACAGCAATAGAATAAGAAAATAACAATAGAGCTTAGATTTAGAAAATATTCATTTCAGTTGAAATGTTCACTTTCTGTGTCTGAAATGAACTCACATCATTATGATTAATGTGAAATAGAATAATTAGATCCTATCTTTCTGATCCATACCTTAGAGGAACCCCAAACCCCATTTCTTTAGTCTAACCTATTATAGCCACTTTTTTTCCTACTTATGACACTCCCTCCTTTTTCTTTAAACCCTTTCTTAGTTTTTTATATTATTTCAGTGATAGCCATATATCTGTCAATGTGACTTGGTACACATTATATACTTCTTAAAATATTAAAGTAACAATTCCAATAACAGACAGCCCATATGCTAAAAAAGCACTAGAGAAATGCCTCCTTCAGTATTAAGGTTAAGAATTAATTACATTTTTTTCATTGTACTCTCACTTTGAGGATTATTAAGTTAAATATTATGTTTCAGTGGACCCTTCTAGTTCAAACCAGACTTCCTTCATAATAGCCTAACCATTTGCCTAACAGCTTTTGGAGAAAAAAGAATGTTCCAAGAAACATTGTTATTTGATATTTAAATTTAGAATGCTGATACTGGAGATAATTTATATTATGAACACACTAAGAGTAGGATTCAATTTGTCTTCTAAAGTGAATAAAAGTAAATAAGCAATAAACATGGGTAGTATAGACCTGGGAAGAAATAATAATTACAGCTTATGTAAGTCACCTCCTCCAGAGTTATTAAATTATAAAGGTTAGTTCTTGCCTTAGTAACTAGGAAATACCTTCAAAAGAATTTTTTCATTAAATGTATATATTCAAAACACAAAATGAAGTACAAAGATTATATAAGAAGGGAAAAAACAATCTATAATTAGTGTGGGATGGAGTCCTTTTTGAGGGAAAAAATTTAGTAAAATAATCTTTTCTTTTGGTCACTATAAAAAAATTAATGCACATGTCTAAAATATTTGCATGTAATGTAAAAAATAGCATGTAACTTTCCCACTATAAAACTAAATACTGGTCAGGGCGGCTGATGTGGTAGTCATGTCTATATCCCAAAATTCCATGAAACCATCAAAATTTAGAGAACAATGCCATAAAAACTAGAAAAGTATAAATTCAGTTAAAAAGTTTAAGATATTATTTAGTTTGCCATTTATTTATAACATAATCAAATGTTGCTGATCAGGAACCTGATATTCTCTACCTTCCCTAGAGGTTAAATAAAAAGAAATAAGTTTGTTATAATGTTACGAATATTGAAAGAAAGATTAATTTATAGACAGTAAGTTATATTAAATGTTATTCTTAAGAAATCTTTAATAAATTATCTATCATTAATATTTTTCTGTATTTATGATGCAAAGAAAATTACATAGATTCCTTGTGAAATGTAAGGAGAATGTAGTTTCTATATTTAAGAAACTTAATGTTAGAAACAGATTAACAATCTTAATTTATCTGTGATGATAAAAACAAGACTGTGTCCCAGAAGTTTGTTGAACTTAAAAACTCCCTTCCTACCTTTTGACTGAAACCCACAATTTATCACATGCTTAGCATTTAGATACTTGTACACTGTGTAAAAGATGCATGGACTGCAGCAAATTTCATGAGGAGTGATAACATGTGCTCAGTTAAAAAAATTGTGAAAGGCTGTCCACTTAAGCCTGCCGTATCAACTAAATGAGTCCTTGTAAATGGCTTTAGCTAAGACCATATAAAGAGAAATTAGAGAGGTAGAGTAATGGGAAAGGTCAAGTATAATCAGAAGGTGTCTTTATTTAACTTGAGCTGAGTCACATCTTGTCAGCATATAAAGATTATCATTAAAGATAGTAGTGACAAGAAGAATCTGTTAACCATTATTATTGGAAATGCGAGGCTGATGGTACATTTTCTGATATTCTTTCATAAATATTAATATCATACAAAATAGAACTTTCTTCCTTGATATAACATACAGAATCTTACTGATGGCATTATTTTAAACATTGATGGAATATTTTACTGAAAGGAGACCAGACAGAATATATGAGTCCAGAGATTAAAGATTTCTTGTATAATAAGATACAACATTTCCTCTGCATTAACATTATAAATACAGGGTAACAGTATTATTTTTCCTGTGAAAGTAATGTTTCATAATATACCAGGAAAAAGGAAGGAAGATTACAATTATGAACTGAAGTCATTTATAAGTTTGAATTTTTTTGCAGTGATATATATCTACCAATTATAGGTAAAATTAGTCTTATATAGAAATCTCATGAGACATTCTTTTTTAAAGGGAAGGAGTAGATTTAATCTCACAGATTAATATATAGCTGCTTTATATCGGTTGAAAAATCTTTTTTAGATTTGTAGAGATGTGTGAAATATGTGGATTAAAATAATATGAGAGTATATTCCCTCATTCAAAAGGACAAATGACCAAATATTTTAGACATTTAAAATAATATAAGAAATAGCATAAGCAAGTAAAATCAAATTATGATATTTTTTGGATAGAATTGGCCAATAATAAAGAGTTATCCAAGGAAAAGTCAAATAAAAAACGGTGTTAGCAGATTTGTGCCTTTCTTGGAGACCTATTTGCATATACGTCTGTTTAAAATTCTGAGTCCAACACTAGTTAAAAGTACCCTAACAATAGTACTGAATGGAACTGAATCAAGTGTTGGATTCAGTTGACTGTTTGGGGGCCAAACCCTGGCAGAAGACCTGAATAGCTATTGAGGGAGGAAGTTGACTCTGTGGTCCTGTCTAAAATTTTATACCGTATTCCTTTAGAAATAATAAAAATCTGCTCCAACCTTATTTAATTCAAAATCAGAGTGCATCAGAGCAGATTAAATAGATTTTCCCCTTATATCTCTCACTACAGTGAAGGTAGAGAAATGACATTATTCACCAACCATTTTGCAGAGTAAAAATATTATTTTTTCACCCTTTGTGCTTGCAAACTTATCTTCCTGTGAATATTCTACTGTGCAGTTATTATGTTTTTGATTTGGATTTTTTTCTTGTTTCTTCCTATTTCTATTAAGTGAATAATGAAGGTTTAAATTGAACAGGGAACTCAAGTAAAAATTATTTGGATTAAGTATAGGACTTAGTTTAGAAATCAATCAGTAATTTTAAGACCAAATCAAGGTTACATTGCATAATATAATGCATAGAAACATGAATAGTTTAGTCACCACAATGAAAAAATTTATGCCTTTTTTGGGCAAGAGCTGTCTATCCTAGCATGTCTCCTGTGACATCATTTTTTTTTTAAAGAGAAAACTACAGTTAACATCTCCCAGTATAACACTGTGAAAAACCTCATCTTTCATATTTTTCCCTTGAAGCAAGGCTTTTTTTTTCCATCCAGAATGTAAAGACTTCAGTAATCGCCTGTCTGACCTCTATAATGAGAATGACTAATTTGTCACATTTATTAATAACCTTATGTGTTGTAGATTTGATTCATGTAGCTCATTATCCCTACCTCTTTTTTCCTAAATAATATTTGTATATGTCTGTGTTCATGTGTGTGTGTCTTGTTTTCTGACTCTGAAATGTTTATTATGCCTTAGACAGTTACCCCAGGGAGATTATGTAAAAAAGCCTGGAGATGGTGACTCTTTTTATAGCGACATTCCTCCTGGAGTCAGCACAAACTCAGCATCTAGTTCTAAGAAGAGGTCTGCTTTTCTGTCGCATTTTCAGATTTCTACCTGTTCCATCACACATTATTCCATTAGTCAGAACATTTCATTATTTTGCAGCAGGTTTGATTACTTCTTCCTTCTTTCTTGAATGTCAAAAAGTAGTATCCTTTGTTCTTTGATTACTCTACTTCAAGATGCCATATGCTCAAAACCACCCGTTAAACAAATCAGATCAGAAATCGGAACTAAACAAAACTAAACAAACAACAAACATATATGTATCTAGAAAACTACAGGATATTTAAATTTTATTCTTATATGCTTAAGAGACTACATATAGTATTTTATATTACTTTAAATGGTGAGCTTTATGTCATGTTTGGTAGTCAAAGAAAAAGGTTACTGTCATGCTTCAATAAAAGCAGTTGTTAAATAAGTTGGTAATATAAATGCTGCATTGAATATTTTTTAATTTTGAATTTTTAAAAGCTAAGCTTGCTGTGAAAAAGATTGCTTCTCTGTGAATCATATTTGAATATTATGATTTTGCCTTTTATTCCTGGAATGGTTATTTTTACACATTATAATTCAGAACTTGGTTGCCAAATTAACATATTTAATGTTTGCCTGAGTTTTAATACAGGTAGGATTAATACATTATTTATATGTTTTAAATTTCAATGTTATATTTCTTGCTCCAGGATCTTAAGGTGTATAGGACCATTAAAAATTTTGCATAAGTTATAATTGCTTAATAAAGAAACTGATGGAGGGAACAAAGAGTTGAAATGTTGTAGAAAATGAGTTCTACATTTATATTGAAGGAAGCTCAGATATATCCAGTGGAAGTATTTCTTTAAAACTGTTGGTAGGGTTATAATTATAAGAAAGAATATGTGATAGCCCCCATGCATTTCTTTGGTCACAACAATTACTTTGTAGACTGATGGGAAAAATTACTAGAAATTACTTGTTTGTTGACAAGAAACATGATTTCTTCTAGAGTTCTGAGTAGAGTGAATCATCCATAAAAATTCTTTAATGGATTTCACTCTTCATAAACATGAATCAGGAAGGAGAATAGAAAGAATTAATGAGATCTGGGAACTCTACATGGAATTGTGTTAAGCATGAAGGATAGTTTTTACTCAGATAATATTAGTTTTTGTACCAGGGAGTACAGTTCTATAGAAAATGTTATTTTTTATTCTTTTAATTTATTGAGAGCTTTTTGCCTAGGAGAATAAAATGTGTTCTTGATCAAATATTTAATTTTCAATAACATGGTAAATAAGTAGAGAAATTGATAGATTTCAGCCGAATTTCTATTGTCCTGTACAAAATAAGGATCATTCTATAACTAGAAAATGTCTAGAATGTCCTAATGTAGGGAATTAACATGTAATAATTGAATGATTTCCATTTCTTTTTATTCATCAGAAAATTCCTTTTAAATGGAATTAACTGAAGTTATTAACTGAAGTGATATGCAGAAAAATTTTAAGTATAGTGTGACTTTCTAAAATACCTCAAGAAGAGCTTTAAATATTCATTTGAGTAATTCCTAGAATTTAGCAAAATCTCATTGGTTGATGACTTTTAAAGAAGTTAAAAATTGTTTCAAGTTATGTGACTAGTCTATGTTGTTTGTCAAATACTTTTCTTAATGTACAAGGTAGGTGTGTAAATTTTGCTTCTTGTAGACAATTCATTTAAATATGGCAGGACACAAATAGTAGAGGGCTTAATGGTACATGGTACATGGGCTTTGTGAGAGATATTTTCATGACAAATGCTTGGTTCAGTTTAGTTATTGGACACAACTAACAATACTATATTTGTGGGGGGGGACCATACTTTGGAGAAAACGACAATTCTCAGAAAATTACGTTATTGTTAAGAAGACCTAAATATTATTCTGATAAAGGTTAACCAGGTTCAATTGAGCAAATCCAACAAGATCTCTTGGAAGTCCATGTTCTCATAATATTTGAATGGAAACCATTGCTTTACAATTAAGAAACATCTATGGTGGGACCCCATTATAACACTGCTGCTTGGATTATGTAATTGAAATAGTAGTGAATTTACTTTCTGGTTGATGTGTTCTAGAGAATGTAAATTGGCTTGCATTGTATCCTGACACTTTTTAATTATAAACTATTGTAATGGGGTTCCATTGTATTTGACTTTTCTTAAATTGAATGTTGTGTAATTCTGCCTTCTTCATGAAGATTTTCATGTTCTCTTCATTCTTTCATTTCAATTTTTTCTTTCTTGATTTATTTTACTTAATAAACAATAATGCATAGAAATTTTGCTTACTGATTTCAAAGCATTCATTTGATTACGTTTTTGAACAGTATATAAATATTTTCAATTTCAGGTCAAATGGACTCTCTCATTCTTGGAGCGAAAGGATTCCAGATACAAAACATATTTCTGACATCTGTGAAAATGGGCGACCTCGAAGTAACTCTTGGCAAGGTATAGGGTGGCATTCCAAATCCAAGTGTCCATATCACCCAAATTTTATGTCCTATGGTCCCTGGTTGTAAAATCTTATCTTTCCATTAAGCTCTTTAGTGCTCTCTTCCCCAATAGAGAGGAGGGCATTTATTAGTAAAAAGCATTATTTTTTTTTTTCTCTGGATGGGATATGCTGGGATTTAATAGCATTAGCATGAGACGCAGTCAGAAGGCAGTACAGGGTGCTATAAAGTTCTGGGGTAGTGATGGTTATGAATTACACCCCCTTGTTATGCCATGTAATGAAAACTATGGCAATTATTTTATGCAAATCTAATTAAAAACTATCTTTTCCAGGTAACCTGGGAGGCAACAGAAAGAAAATCAGAGGCAAACGATTTAGACCTCGGTCTAATTCAACTGAGTAAGTCTGAACCTCTAATGGAAAAAGGCATTCCAAGGTCCTGTGCAATTAAGTATGAGAAGTTAATTAACCAGATCATCAAAGAACTGTTAAACCATGCCTCTGGTCTTGGTTTTGTCTTTTTAATTCTTTCTTGCCGTTTTAAAATTAACCATGGCTTTTCTCTTTTACATAGGCATCTCCGCAACTGTGCCCATACCAATATTCACTGATAGTGGGGGTCTCACCCTCTCTGCAGGCTTTTTCCTCCAGTAACCTGCCATTGTGGTGTCTTGGTGCCGTTTGAAGGGAATTTTGATAACATTCCTTTCTTCTCATCACCTTGGGTCCAGCCATTTCAGAGGGCTCACCCTTCCTATCCCCAATATTCACAAAGCCTAGAAGCATCAGGGAAAACTTCCCACCTTATTAGAGCATGATACTGCTCACAACTTGAAACCACCGCTCTGAGGTCTTCATGGCTGCAATCTAAGCATTCTCTCAGACTAATGGAATAAGTTTCCCTTTTGAATTTTCCTTCTGAGAACATTTAAAAGGGTATCTGCCTAAACTTGCTCTTTAACGGAATCATTGTCACTAAATGCAATACTATCCATTTAAAATGATGGCCACACATTTGTTATAGTGTGGGAGGGGTTGGAAATTAATTTATTGTCTTTTATAAGGTAAACACCATGCACTTTATTTTTATTTGTTTTTCCACTTAAGAAAGTATAAGCGAAGCCAAACTTTCTGAAACCTTTATCTCCCATCATGAAATAAAACATACCCTTGGTATCCTTCTGGACCTTGCCACTCAGTTTTAATTACCCGGACTTATTTTGACCCACCTAAATTTGTTTTTACTTGTTTCTCACTGCAGTACTAGTTATTGTTCCCAGGGTCTTAGTTGCTTCTTCATGCCTTAATACTTAAAATATCTGGAGCAAGTATTTGTTAATTGCTTGTCAGAAACTTATGTTAGCTTTTCTATCATGTATCCTGCCCTTTTTCAGTACAGGACAATAACATTGCCCTGAAATTTGGACCTTCCTGCTGATGGTATTGTTTTGTAAGTGGCTTGTCAAAGTTTACTAGAGGATCCTATACCTTAGAAACAATAGATAGGTTCAAGTAATACATTGCATGGTCCAGAATGGCATCATAGAACTCCATCATAAAGAACTAATCTGTTAGAGTTTATCTTATGCATTCCCAAAGCACCTGGATGCTTTAGGGCTTATGGTAGATAAACTCTTCTTGGAATGTTGTTTGATTTGTTTTGCATGAGGTCACCTGGTAAGAGCTCCTTAGCTTAACTTAGTCGCTTACAAGAATATGGATAAAACTGCAAGATGTTCTTTAGAGCTTCCCTTGTATACTGTTTAGTGTTCTAACAATATTTCTTATAACACGGTTTTAAAAACTCCTAAGTGGAAAAAAAAAATCCAACATTAAAGCTATAAGTTTAGGTCCCCCAAATACTTGGTATTTAGTAAATGTCATATAATATTTTCTAGAGCAATCACTTATTTAAAAAAATTTCTGTAAAATTCCACTCATATCATAAATACTAAACTATAGATAGCTTTTGAGAAATCTTGCCTGTGAGGTAATTAATTTAAAATATTTAATAAGACATCAGAATCATCTTTGCAAGGAAGAGGTATTAGGACTCACTCAGATTTTTCAGACTTTTCAGATTTGGGTTATATGACTTACATTAATTAAACATAACCAAGTCTGTGAAGCTGATCACTATTCTTGCATTCTTTATTGTATAGGCATGATATATGGAACTTTTTTTCTTAAACAGAATCATAATGCATAGCATTTTAGGAATTATGTGGGTAGTTTTTTTAATACTTTCCATATTTGTTAAATAATCCCATTTGCTTCTGATGAAATGGGATAATTTGTGTGACAATTAGAGGAACAGAAAGACCATGGACAAACATATATTTTATTTTTTTATATTAAAAGGTATTATCAGGTCCAAATTTTCAATACTCCCTTTAGTAACTTATCATCCCAAAGGATGATGAAATATTCAGTCATAAATTAAAATATGTACCACAAATGCATACTTTGCTAATTAACAACAGAAAATGTCCTTGTTTATTGTGTTGTTTTTCCACTCAAAGCTTTTGCATCTTCCTCACTGTTGTACATGATGTAAAGAAAAAAAAGCTTTTGGCTTAGACTTTGTATTATATATTGTGTTTTTACAGGAGGGAGCCCCAAGCACCTGAGCCTGGGCACTCCCTCGCCCAGACTGTCCCATCCCAAGGCATAAGCCCAGGGGGCTCTGACAGCCCCCAGACAGGGAGTCTGGATCACAGGTCAGTCTCCACCTGCCCCTTCATTCTGGGCTGCCACTTAATTTCCCTCCAAGTCCCTTCCTTGGCTGAGAACAGGGTCATTTGATCTCTGACTGACCCTCAAAGTCTGCTCGGAGGTGGTCCTTGTCCAGCCAGCACCAGCTGATTTTCCTATGCCTTTCCATCCTGGAGAACACAAAGAGCTCTCCTATCCTGTCTAATGCATTTTTTTTTTTTGCATGTTGCGCTACAATCCAAGTCAAGCCACATAGGCAGGTAAATAGCAGTTTGATAAAATCCCGTCATTGCAGCCAACACCACTAGAGGTGTTAGGAAGCCCACGATGAAGACATTGCTGGGGCAGATTCCAGAAGTAACAGCAATTGGGAGGTCTCTTCACTGACCTCTAGTGAGGTGACCACAGCCTTCTGAAATGCTCCCTAAATCGGAGGGGAAAAAATCCATCATATGCAAGTCAAGTCAGGTGGCTGGCTGTAGGTTTCATGGCACCACTTCCAAGATAGTCAGTGAAAGGAACCTTTCTGTTCCTGGAAGTGGCCCACTGCCTGTGGGTGACAGTTTGCTGTGTGGCTATGTTTCACCTGATCACAGCTGCATGGGCTTTTTCTACGGTTTCCCCCAGACCAGAGTGTTTACTAGCCTTCATTTGTGGCTGCATTTGCTTTTTGATATTTTTCTTTTTGTTCAATCTCAATGGAGATATATATGCAAGTTTTAATTGGCTATCTGTGAAAAGCGCAAGTTGGCAATGATTGTGGCTAAAGGCAAAACTAGTGTGAGTTTTTCCTGAGTCAGGGGATATTATCCTAGCAAAAATGGTCTTATAAGCATAAAAAACAACCACTCCCTTCTCTTAGGAGGGAGCTTCAAGATGTGATTTTGTGGCCTACACTGGCTATAGCTAACATTAAGAGAAAGGACTTTGGAAAAATAACCTAATTTTGTATATGTAACTGTGGAAATGTATTCTTGATTTAAATGTATTTACAAATAACAGCTAATATTGAGGAAAGAAGAAAACTGTAGTCAAAATGAGTAGTATATTTTATAATTTCCCCAGGTCTGTTTCTTAGTGACTTTAAATATTTTATAGAGCTTGGGTCTTCATTGTCTATAGTATTTCTGAAAGTTATTTTTTAAATGAGAAAACAGTAAAATCTCCAAATTCTACCAAGACCTAATTTGTTGAATCTATACTTATTTTCGAGGGCTATAATCTAAGGGAATGAGGTTTGCTTGACCTCTCAGTGTAAAAGTCAAATGAACCTCTGAAAAAAATACCTTGCACTCCCAATTTTACTATTTTTTAAAATTTCTGTTGCACAGTAATTTTGATGGGGACTTCACCAGGTCTATCAGGGAAATACGAACTAATCAGTCATTATTGTCCTCTGGCAGTCACTCTCATAATTCATGGTCAGACACTTGGAAGGCAACTTCTGAGGGCCGTTTCCTGATGGAAACATGACTGGAGTACAGTCTGGAGTGCACAAGCGGAAGAAGGAACATTGCAGCTACAACTAATTTGCTAAACCGAGCCTCAAGGTCATGGGGCCCTGTTTGGACCACATTCATGTGCATTTGGGGCTCCAGGATCCGAAGAGTGGGGCCCTTTCTGTTCCTTATAGAGCTGGTGGGGGCACCTTTCTCTTTTAATTACAGCTTGGGATCTGCTATGGAAAGTAAGACAGAGGCTATGTAAAGTCCTTCTTTTCATATTGGAAAGAGAACTTTGCTCCTTTTAATTGCTCTCGGGGGTGTTATATACCCAAATGCCAGGTTGGAATTGCAGCCATCTGAATGTTTTCAAAAAGCACCATTGTCATTTGAAAACCAAGAAGCCAAATGAGAGGTGGCCTGGGAAAAGCCACTTTGGAGGTGGGTGAATGGGACTAATGACATTATTATGATTGAAAGAAAGCTTCTGGTTCACTTTGGGAAACCACTGAAAAAGCTTTCCTTGACATGTTAAATACATTCTAGAATGCCTTGAGCCTTGTCGTAGCAGAGTTTATTCTCATGTCATTGTACAGACTGCCTCATTATCACCCAACGTCCATTCTGGTTTATTTGCCATAGTCACTTGCATTTGGAGGGTGAAGACATCCTTGCTTAAGCTTGTGCTGTGTATTTTCAGATTTTCTATCTTGTTCTGCTTTCTTTGTTCCTTCCATTGCTTTCTGCAGGTATTTAAACCCATGGTTCAAAAGAGACTATAATGTAGCTAAGTGGGTAGAAGATGTGAATAAAAACACTGAAGGACCATACTTTAGGTATTTTATAAATTAATTTTATATCCTTTTTAAACTCTCCCAGCACATACAAATAATGTAGTGTGACTGGCTCTCTCTCTTGTATCTCCCAATACAAGTTCCCAGAGGCGGAAAGGGTCCTTGTTTATTTGCTGCCTTTTGATCTCTGTTTTTGGCTTCCTAAGCAAGTCTAGTTCTTTCCTGAATGTTTCAAATGAAGCCATTTGAAAGGGTTACCATTTAGTGCATGTCCTATTACCATCTTGAGCTTTTTAGTAGCTTTCTCTTCATTTATGCTATATAGTGTTCTATGGGCATGAAACATACTTTCCACTAATAAAGAAGCACTATTAACCTGAAAAATTTTATTTCTAGAATTTAGCAGTTTCATAATGCTTATTTTCCTACTTACTACCCTAAGAGTGCATAGTGCATACAAGACCTTAAGGAAAAACATGAAAAGAAACTAAATGAAATGTAGTGGAATATGTTTTGAATAAAAGCATTGATTTGACATAGCTTGAAAATTATTGAGAGAATATTGACCATATGAGTTTGTAGAAAGAATTTAGGTTTTTTTTTAGTACAACCATTTGCTGCCAGAGAAAGGCTGTGCTGAGAAAAGTATTCTGCAGATTCTCAATAAAGCATCTAAAGAATTTTTTAATGCTGATAAGAATGTTGTGGGCTAATACGTCACATAGGACAGGGAGTAGATTGGAAACATATTATTGATTCACAAAAGAGCAGAGTATTCCTACATTTTAGAAACCTTCAAATTAATTCACTGCAGCTCAGTATAATATTAGAGGTCAGAGAGAATTTCCAAGAGCTCTTAATGGCATTTTTCACTCTTTGTAATATTAAAGTTATTTCCTAGAGGTATATGTCCACTTTATATCTAACTACTTTGTGGACAACTAGTATAAAGAAGAAATATAGTCACTGCCTCTTCTGAATAATAAACTTTTAGAATACTTATTGCCTTGACTTGGGTCCGCATTTAACAGATACTAAATATACTTGTGTATTTAACTCTCAGCACCCATATAAGGTGGACTTTCTCTTCCAGTGTACCATTTAGTTTAGACATGTATAGTTTGAGAAAATGATTAGACCTACTGCATTTTAATTTGATCCATACATTTGCATATACCCCAAGGAAAGCATAACCCTTGCCTGCTCACAAAAAATATATCCTGCTTCTTTTACCCTATCCCCCCACCTCCTTCCCTATCCCTCTGCTTATTCCACTTTCCCACACTGAACTTCATACACATACACTCACATTCAAACATCCCACCCTCACCTGTAGCTCCCAAGATGGCCAGCGTCAGGAAGACAGGTAAGATATTTTGAACGTTATTTGGAATCTTGGCTCACCTGCAGTCCTAATTTTCCTTTCTATTTTCCTCAGGCTTGTGGGCAGATTGTAATTTGTATCAGTCATGGAACCAAAAATAGAATTATGATGATCTCATATGGGCTAGGGCTTTTATTACTAAATGGACTTAGCATTTTTGCAGCAATAATTTGTGAAATGGTACCCCGGAAGAGTTGATTCACCTCCCCTGGGTGAACTGAGTAGTTTATGTGGCTCCCAGAAAAGAGTTCACATTTCTTAAAATCAGCACCCAGGTCTGCCCAGAAGCTGCATGACTAAATACAATTTGGATGGGGAAATGCTTTAGCATCCCTGGTTGCACGTGCAAAGCTGGAAGGGCAATTTTAGAGGCTTCCTTTATCTTCTCCCTTAATCTGAGATGCTATTTCCTACAGTGGATTGTCACATTAAGAATTAATCTATTTGTGTTTAAAGGCTAGATGTAATTCAGTGGAAGGTTCTAATTCATTTTTTAATTAGTAAGGGTTATGCTATTAAGTCTTAAAAGTCAACACAAGTTTCTGTAGAAGTAGTGAATTGAAATAGCCCAGAACTTTCGCACACTGGATCTGATGCAACAAAGAGAATTTCATTCACTTCCCATTCAAACTAAACATTACATAGGATGCCCAAAGTATGTCCACACCTTGGCTTATACTTTGCCACCCCTTTGCTTCATCTCATGTAGAAGAGATCTGCTACTGCTAGATCATTTAAGATTATCTCCCCTGCCTAAATCACCAATGAGGATAAAGGTCACTAACTTTACCAATCATCTGTCTGGTGTGGGGTTTGTGGCATCATTATCAAAATGCTCTGGAGACTTTGTGACTGCAGTAAACTGGTCCTGAATACAGTCTAGAATTTCAAATAGAGTAGTCACATAGCCATGAAAAGCAAAGCATATGCCAAAAATTTTTGAATGATTAGAGTGCCTCCGATGTGTTCCCTTACTGTTCTGATATGACAGTGGTCACTCACACTGTTGTCAGCACATATTCAGGTCGTCAGGAAGGAGTGGGGAGGTCAGAGCAAGAACATTGTCTGCCCACACCCTTATTCTGGGGCATATCTGTTGGTGACAGTGCTTTACATGCTTTTGGAAAATACCCTTACTCTTGCTATTATCCACTTCATCAGTGGTTTTGGAAAATGTAATAACTCTAAAGAGAAACTAATAACTGTTATGTTTTATAACTCATAATAACTCAAGGTGGCAACTCATGCCATGCATTAGTAACTACTGTCAACCTTTATGTCTCCCAATCTCAGGAGATACAGGCATTCTTATTCCCTTTCTATGAACGGAGGAAACTGAGGCACAAAGTGTAACTCAAAGCAGCCACAGCTAGTGAAGTTTCAGAACCAGAAACATGAGCCTGGACATATTTGACTCCAAAATCTATTCCATTGCCATCTCATTGTAATTACGTCAAAGCAGCATAGTAGATAATGACAACTTACATCATATCCTAGAATACTATAAATCCTCTAAATTAGACCACTAAAAAATTTGCATCTGAACACAGCCAAGTGAATAAGGCATTCGTCATGTGTGACTGCCTGGTTTTAACCTGTGTTAGAGGGCAGATCTGACTTAAACTTGGCCTTACAGGCATGCTATAAGAGGCAAGCCCAGGAAGTCTAATGTAGTCCTGAGATACACAGCAATCGATTGCTACACAGACATGCCTTCATTGTATAAATCTAGTATGTGACTCACTAAGTTATTGGTGTTTTAAAAAGTGCAATAATTATAGTGGTTGACATTTGTCCAAAGATTACTTTGTAAGTGAATGAGCCGGGCTGGTGCCTGGTTTTCAGTGAAAGCCAGATTGAAACTAGCAGGCAAGTAGCCAGGGTCAGAAAAGAGCCTGGAGGCAGTTTTGAAGAAATGTCTTTTTTTTAGACACGTGTAAGGAATTTTTACTTTGTTTTCACTTTTCCTAAACTGATTTACCTTTATCTTGTTTTCTCCTCTTATTCTGACTCCTGTTTTGGTGCTCTCCATCTTCCTTTTATGCTGTCACACACCACCCAATCTACAGGACCTTATGTTCCTTGCCCCTGCTAAAATTGTCCACCTTGGCCTCTCTCCCTCTCAGGGTACAAAAAGAGAGTTAACTATTGTGTTAATGTGAAAAGTGGTCAATTTCTTTGGAATTATGGATAATACCTAATGTTTTAACTCATTATTGTCATTGGTGAGGGAAAAATATTTGAGGGGAAGACTGGATTTTTAGGACCCTTCTTTGAAATGGCGTGTTTGTGTACAAAGACTGCTCATTTGGACCCATGCCATGTGAATGGCTGGCATGAGTGTGAAGCTATAAGCAACAGCTCATGCTATGGACATACACACTGCAGTAAGTGAAAAAGAGAACTTGTTTTACACAATGCCCTAAGATAAACAAGATTCAGTTACGTGTGTGCCTGACTAGTTTTCCCGAACTTGCTGATCTTACCAGAAGCAATTAAGCTAAAAATCTGAACTTAGGTTTTAGAACGATGTGTTTAAATAACTAAACACTGTTTGTCCTTGTTGTACATATACTGAATTTGTTTCTTTAAGATCATAGCCCAATTTGAAATGCTTTCCAAAATTAAAAAAGTTGTTTATTTTTCATGTAAAAATTTATAGTTGTACAGTGTTAAATTGCTTTAATAGTACTGTGGAGGATTCAAAGTTCTACTCTTCTTAGTTCTACCCACCTGCTCCTTGAGAGAAGCCAATCAACATCAGTATTTTAACTAGAGTCACATTAAAGTCCAAGATACTCGTCAGAAACAGAAGAAACATTTGAAGTTACAGATTAAAAGTAAATGGAACCACTATTGATTCTTAAAATAGAGTTAGTGTTTGTAGGAAAAAATATTTTCAAACCTTAGGTTGAATTCACTATCCATAAGATACAAACTGATTTGAAAACTATGACAGAACTAGGACAATGGATAATCTATGGTTGGGAACCAAAATTTAAAATAAGGGAGAAAAAGAGACATCTTTATGTTGTTGCTAGCAGTACAGGTGGTAGATCTCCCCCTACCCAATGGCACTCCCGCCTCCCAACACTTCAAGCAGATGCTGTGCATCCTGCTGAAATAAGTACTTGTGCTGTCATTGGGCAGTGTAACCAGCTCAATGATGTGGTTCATTACCGCTATGCCACAGGAATTGAGGAGTCGCAGTGTATGGTGGTAACAGTTGTGAATGTTAATGCAGAAAATTATAACATCTATTTCTCATTGATACAGTGTGAATTGACATTTTTCACTCTTGACTGTTTTTTCCCCCACTCTAAAGACAATGGGTGGGTATGAGCTCTTCCAGTAAGCTCTGCTTAGTCACAAATATTACCATCACACATGTAGACTCAAAAAAGAACGGCATTCATGTACCAAAGAGCCTATGTAGATCCTTCATATGGATTATCTCAGTGAGAAGACACTTTATCCAGATAGGAAGAGTTTTTGTTACTGTGTTTTGTTTCAGTTTTAGCAAAATTCCACTCAATAAAGTGTAACCACTTTATTGACATGACAAGTGTACCTTACATGAGTTATCAAGATTAACTTCTACGGCTTAGAATCTTCCCCTGTACTGAAATGCTCATGGTAGAGACTAATCAGACCATTTTTGTATGTTATCATCAGATTCTTTGTTTGGCTGGAACTCTGCACTCCTTACTGCTTGCATGTTTACTAATTTATTATTGAAACCCCTGTATTTGCCTTTGTTCTTTTGTAACTAACACACTGGCCTCTGAATGCATGAATTTTGTGTAAACTGATGTATGACTTAGTAACTAATAAATCAATTGTATTTTCACAACTTAGAAATATAATTGGAATTGCTATATTAAAAACTTTTTACATGAAGTGGTAAAAATAAGGCAGAATATTACTGTTATACATTTTAGTTTACCATTATGAGCTCTTAGAATAATTTTGTCTCTTCTCCATTTTAGCTTTTTATCTATTCTAAAGGATACATCATTAGCATTCTAGTTCTATGCTTCTGTGTACTAACATTTATATAATCGTTGGCATTTATGAAATTAGGAAGATAAAATGCCAGTATTCCATTGTTGTGAATTAAAGTATCTCTCAGTAGTTAAACCTTTCAGTAGTGGCTTATGGAAGTAAAAATAAAAGGGTTTGTTCTGAACCCAGTTTTAAGATATTTGAAAAAAAGGTATTAGGCAATCACATAATATTTATTTCATGTGTTCTCAACATCTCAGGACTTTATCTCCTGCCAAATCTCCTTCTTCATCAACTGGGTCCATTGCCTCCAGCAGAAAGTATCCTTACCCAATGCCTCCACTTCCTGATGAGGAGAAGAAAGTGAACCGACAAAGTGCCAGGGTATGTGGAAACCTCTTCTATATGCTGACTTCCTCAGTTATCATTGTTTATCCATTCACATTTTAAAAGAAAGAGTCATTTTTCCTTTTCTGTTCATAAGAAAAAGGAAAAATTAAATTTGAAAAATAAAATATTCTTGGGGCTCAGATTTATATTTGCAAGTTAGTTTAATTAATTAATATAGCCATAATGCCCAGAAGTGTTGTTTATTAAACTTGATATATATTTTTTTAATTGGTTTTCCTTCTCTGGTGATCTTGGTTCCATTCATATTGGTTCTGCCAGAGTTATTTTCAATTCTTTAGGGCAATTTCTGAACATTGTAGAAATTGGATATAAACAGGGCCAGTATGAAGAACTGGTGGCAAAGGCCAGGGGTGAGGGAAGTAAATAATTGACATCTTGCCCTGGTGTTTCATTCTACTTTGATATGTCACCTTTGGGTAGAGGAAAATTTTCTAGGAGGCTCTGATGAACTTAGAGATTTTATAGCCTTATTATAGGCTCTAGGAAAGGATTCCTAACAGGGTCCTGGGAGTATTGATAGAATCACACATCCCTAAGGTCAGTAGTTTTCAACACTGCCTATACATGGGAATTGTCTACAGGACTTTTAAAATATACTAATTTCTTAGTCCCATCCGAGAGATATAGTTTAGTGTGGGGGCACTAATTAGACAGTGGGGTTTTAAAACATCCCCAGGTCATTTAAATGTGCAGCTGAATTGAGAATCACTGCTCTGACTGACTGTATCAGAATCTTAGGGAAAGAAAGGTTATTTCTAGAATTAAATAATAATTTAAATTATTTTATTTCACTTGATAATGTTTAATTTATTTAAAATTTGGAGAAGCAGCAAATAAAGATGTGAAGATTTTTTTGCATTAAAAGGTGGCAGTTCAAAAGGTTCAGACACAGGTTTAGAGGACTCAGAGCTGAAAACTAGAATGTTTATTTATCATCCTTTGTTAGGCTTCACAAGAGTAAGAATCTACAATCACATAAATATAGCTGGAATCACCAAATCTTTTCACCTTCATAGCTTGGAATACGTTTGCTTCCTGTTCTTACAGTACACAATTTTGTTTTTCTCTGTTGTGCAGCTATGGGAGACATCCATTTAAAGATCAACTGTTTACATGTGATACATCGAAACTGTTTACTTCAACTTTTATAGAAACCCAGCCTCATGGAGTCACTGCAAATCTATCTGCTCTTCAAACAATATGAAGACGCTCTGAGATATCACAGAGGAGAGGAAGCCAAGTCTCACATCTCAATACCATCTTCTTTTTGTCATTGGCTTAGGATTTAACTGAACCATGAAAAGAATTGCTGAAATGTTACACTCTTAACATGAAACAATAAAGGTACCGGTATGTTAATGGAAAATCTGCATGACAGACATATGTAGAAATATCACTAAAAATAACTCACATAACCCAAATGTAGCCAGTTTCCTAAGGGACAATAGTGGATTCAGAACTTGACATTCTGAAGCACATCCTCATTGTAGACAGTAATGCTATGTGCATGAAGCTTCTGTTTGTTTTCCACATTTAAGGAAACATCCCATAATAGAAACTAGCATGCAGAGCTAAAGCATATAGGATTTTTCTGCAGGACTTTAAAGCTTTGAGAGGCCAATATTCCATATGCTAAAACTTAAACATGTATTTTTTTTGTTTTATTTTTTACTTTTCTTATTTATATCAGCATACAAGGACAGTTGTACATATGTAAACATTTTTAAAATAAAAAAAGCAGCTCACACACAAGTGTATTTTGCCAAATGCCTAAAAACAATCAGTCACAATCGTACCATCCTCATCCATCAAATGGTCTTTAAATGATTACAAGCCGATGATGTAAATATAGTGGTCAGTGCTGTAAAAGCGTTTCTCCATAACTGGTATTTGTTCTAAAACATGTGGTATCCCTTTAAACTGTGTACAGTCTGGAGGCAGTTTCACTGAGTTTTTAACTGATCTAGAGAACAAAATGCCCAGTAAACTTGGGGACTCCCAAACAAGCTGGGGTAGGAGTCCAGTAATGCAGCCGCTGTCCTCCCTCTGGCCACTCTGCTGGTTGGCTCTTCTCTGGGAATCCTCCAACCTGTCCACTTTCTGGGGGCTGCTGCACCTGCTTCAGCAATGGTTTTATTTCAGGACCAGAGCACATTGCTAGTCTCACCCTGGAGGCCTATGAGTCCCACAGCAGTATGCTGTGCTCATTATCCAAGTGCACCAAAGACACCCGAGACCACAGGCTGCTGAAGCATTGGTAGCTTCCAAATTGCCCATTATCTAACCCTCTGTGATCTGAAGTTTTGTTCTTTAGCAAAACATTTTGCCCACCCTTATCTGTGAGATAAATGATCTGTTTTAGTAAAAACAGCTTTTACTCTGTTATTAAGAATATTGATCATTAGTGGCACCTGAGTCCCAACAGGCCATTCCACACTGACTTTGAAACAAAGATATGGATGGTTCTACTAGCCAGACTGGGGCCTCAACAAGCCTCAAAGGGTTAAACTAAACCTAAAAACCACATGTGTGGCAACTGTGAATTTAGCCAAATAGCAGACAGAGGAAAGAATCTGATGTATTGAACTCTATATATTTTTAATCCATAGAAAAATGAATATTGGATGTTAAAGTTGCTTCTTTACACCCAGAGTTTTATAGCTGTTTATAATGCAGTCTTGTCATTCTTACAAAAAGCTTCCTTAGGGAGGCTGCTCTAGTGAGTTCAGAGATCGATGGGATCAAAAGCCTTGATGTGAAGAGTACTTCTGAATTTCCTCATTTTTCTCTCCTTTTTCTTGAGAGGAATAGAATCTGTAGACAAGATTTCAGAAATATCTTCTAAATTTGATCTCTCTTCCTGTAGTGTCCATAGAAAAAACTCATCTCACCTCCATGTATAATCAGCCTGGATGCCCAAACTTAAGGGCTGAGTTAGAAGGCAGTGTTTCATAGTCTATGTATTTGTCTTCTGTAATGGGCCTCTCTCCTAAAAGTCTTTGAAAACATTTGAACAGCAGTTTAATCATTGAAAACTAGAAAATGTAAACAGCATTTTATATGACAGGAAGGGATGTGATTGTAGTTACTACAACAAAATAATCCAATAGACTAAGGACTGGGTGAGTGTTGATGACATTGACAGTTGCCACACCATCCAAACCAAGGACAGCAGGGCAGACAGATTTAAAAATGTAGCAAATAAAGTGGCTTTCACCAACAGCACTTTAATGTGCACTGAATGTTTTCTGGTATTGAGTATATAAAATGTTAATGTTGCAAGGTTTATTTTGACTACAAAGTTTCTAGATTTGAATGTATGGTACCTTGTGTAAATATGCTTCCTAGTTATGATTACACAAACCCTAATTGAAATGAGTCTACAAATGATTAGCTACATAGTCAACAGTTCCCCTTCACCCCTTTCCTTCCTCAGCTTCTCAGTTATTTTTATGTGAAAATTATGTGCCTTTTGGGAAACATGGTTGTTCTAGAAATGTATCTTTCCTGGTCATCTTCTTTAGTAATAACTTTCAAATGGAACTGAAAGAAGTCTTATTTGAAGAGAGATTATTTTATACGAGTTTTAATTCTGGGTGTCTAAGAATGTTTAAAACATTCAGAGTCATTTGCAGCTTTCCTTAATAAGTTTATAATCTCAAAAGATAGTTTCAAAAAGTTCCTATATATGTACTTATGGTTGGTGTTCTAGATATATTAAATCTTAATATTTATTATGACTTCTCATCCACTGAGGCAGGGAGAATAGACCCATGGCACTAAATATAAGCACAGCATTTTTTAAATAACTATCTATTTTGGCAAGGAACTTTGAGTTCACATTACAGTTGGTATCATTTATCTATATTTATGTTCCACAGTCAAATAGTAGACTGTTGTACTAAGCAGAGGGAGCAGTAATGTGTTTTGTTGTTGTTGTTGTTGTTATCCCATATTATGCCTTTTTCCTTTCTGAAGTTTTGCGCATGTATAAGATTGACAACCTGCTGTCTGAGATGTTCCATTTATCCATAGTCATGATAGTGAAGTAAAATGGGATTAAAAGAAACAGTTAAATCTCTCCACTAAAGTTGACCAAATGGTGTGTGGGGGTAACAGGGAACCCTGAAGGAGCTTGCTAGCCAGACTAACTAGTCTCTGAGTCCAGCCATTTTCTTTAGACAGGAAGTGGTGTCCCTCTGCAGTGTCCCAGGTACACTGGTCTCCAGTTATATGTAATGTGTGGGAAGGAATAAACTCCTCAACAGTGTAGCACAATGAAGGTTTTCAATTTTCTGAAATTGCCATGTTTTTTTGAAAAACCCAGTGCTACTCCTTAAAAATTATTGACTAATAATTATTGACTAATAAAGTAAATGTAGGATTAAAATACCAAACAATTTTCAGTTTGATATAGGTGCTTTATTAAGTGACACTACAATTTATTCTATATTTTTTCCTCTTGTTTAAAAAGGTTTTTAAAATTGTTTTTATACTGAAATTCAGTCCAGTATAGCTTTTTGAATATAATATTGATAGGCATTCTATAAGAAGTTGCTAAAAAGATAAAATTAGATATTCTATGCACATGCAGAGAATTATTTGTTTGAAATCCATAACATGCTTACATTTCTTTTTTCCTTCTATTGATTCCCTTGAAGATCTGCATAATTTAATTCATTTTATGATTTTGTTCTTTACTTCTTATAGTTACCTTTGGGCAAGAGGAAATTGGTGTTTCTATTCACTGCTTTCAGTGTTCCAAAGTCAAGTTTATTTAACATTCGTTCTTCATTTCCTGTTGTCATGCAATTCTATTTTTGCCTCATATATTTAGTACTTTAAATAGTTCCTTGTGTTATTCAACATGATAATAAATCCTTATCCAAAGAAAAGACTTTTATTTTACTTTATGTCCCTTAAACTTAAAGGAAAGGGAATTTATTGGAAGGATACCAAGTACCTTTCGGGAGGGGAAAGTGAAGTATATACTGAATGAAGGGAGTGAAGGATGAGAGGCAAGCTGGCTGGGCCACAGCCTAACAGGGCACCACTGCTGGCTGCTGCCCTGAACTGCCTCTATGGCCAGCATATTTTAAATGCCATCCTACCAGTTGATATATTGGCTCGAGTTTTCCATGAAATACTCTGACCCCTTTGCAACACAATGCCTACTTTTTATGGTCCTAATTATCTTTTTCCTTTCATTTCTGTTTTCCTTTTAATTACCACCCATATCCCATCCATTCACTTAAGAAATGGAGTCATGATGAATTTCTCATTCTCACTCTACTGACTTAAAATATATTAGAAGCAACCTATGAAATAGGGCTTAATTTGGGGTTTAAACTTTTTTGCTTTTCCCACCTGAGATATTTTCTGAATGGATAAGACTACTCTGAAATTGGATGCAGCAACTTTCCTCCCAGGAGAGCGAAGGACTTCACAGTTTCCCCTGTTTATCATACTGTGAGGCGCCCAGCTGGCTCTTGTGAAAATCAGCTGGAAGCAGCAGTGCATCTGCCATGTGTCAGGTGTGGGGAGTGGAGTGCGGGCACAGTTAAACATGCCGGGACCTCTTGGCAATTTGCTCATAACACATGTGCTTTTAACCCAAGAGGAGCTATTTCTCCGCCTGCAGAAGCAGAACAAAGATGCAGTGAGACCTTAGAAATCAAGGGATAATATTTCTGTTCCTTTTATTCCCTGCTTTACAAATTCTCAAAATGGAGCATGTTCTGATTCAGTTTATAGGTAGAAACAAAACATTCAAAACAAACCTGCCTGTATTTTGGCCTTCATATTCAGAGCCTGATAAGCAGTAAGCATCCTCACTGTGGGATTTGTTCCAGACCCTTCCTGCTTCCAAAGTAGCTCCCCCTTCAGTGGCTGTCATGAAGGTAAGTCCTTTCTTTGGTGAAACTGGCATGTGGGAGAACAATAGGGGTACAGAGCTGGGGGGAGGGACAGTGGAGTCACCTTCAGTCTGCTCACTTTGGCACCTGGCATGATTATGCAACTTTGGAAATCACTGAAAGATGGCTCTTCAGGATGTACGTTGCAGGCTTGAAGGAGATCAGAGGCAGTGAGCCCTGGGAGGATATGGGAGGGTTTCTGACATAGGAACAAAATTGAGAGCACATAAAGTGGTCAGAAGCCAAGTGTGCAGAAGAGTACCAGATGGCTGCTTGGAATTGTGATGGGGAGAGGGGTGATGGGAGCCTACAGCAGACTTGTATGCTTTGCTATTTTTTACTGAGTGTTGGCTCTATAAATGCTTCAAGGTCCAGTTCATGATGGGCCAGTCACTCTGCCTGATATGTCCCTATGGCATTGTTCATAGGATTTGTGTTAAATCATACCAGGAGGTGCTTTGAAGCGAGCAGAATTTTGCTTATGGCATCATTTCATGTTTCTAGGTCTTTAAAATCAAAACCAGGGAAAATGTTTTTTTTGTTGTTGTTAATGATCTAAGCAATTTTGCTAAGGTAATGTACATAAAAATGTCATCAGTAAAGTTTTCAAAGAGTCTATGAAGGGCACTTTCCTTCAAATTAAAAAAAAAAACAAATACATATAATTATAATATACTGCTTTAGGGCTTATCCTCTTTTTAAAAAAGTTTCAGATGTGGATTTGTTTTGAAGGTCAAACTCTTAAAATAATGCAAATAGCCCCCAAATCTTTAAATATAGCGGTGCTAAGTAATACCAGAGAATATAGAAAGTGCTGATATGAATTAATGCATTTATTCAGTAATAACAAAGAATTCTTACTAAATTATACATGTGTATCACTGCCTGATTTGAAATCCCACCTTTCTTTTCTAGTCCAGCACAAAATCAAATTGTGATTCTATAGCTAGTGTTTTTAATGGGTAAAAATGACCCAACACTTTTGTTTTGTATGGGAGACTTTTTTTTTCTAATAGCAAAAATGCTTAAGAAAAGGTTATTCAGTATAACTAAGCATATACTCCTTTCTTAACTTGCTGGAAAAGACTTACCCCTTCAATCTAGCATCCCCAAACACTTAGAAACTGGGCGTTCTACCTAAACACAGCAGTTCATATGTCAGCCATTATAGGTCTAGCTAGTGTTATCCACATCTATCATATTTGAGGGGTGATGTCCCATCTATGGATAGTGGAAGGCACTTCGTGGGGAAGTGTTAATAGCATGGATTCACTTTTGGTAATAGTAATTATGTATATATATTTAGATTGACATCATTTTAACATATTCTCTCTGCTACTCTGCACTTCAGGTCTTAAGCTATTTTAAAAATTACTGGGTTTTGGCAAACACCAACTGAATTGTACATGGCAACTGCTTTCCTGAGCAACATGTGATTTGTTTTATGGCTGTTCAAGTTATAAAATTGTTCTTATATTGTAGGTAAACAATCTTGCTGTTTTTAAAGGTCACTGTAACTTGATGTTCAACTTTCTGGCACAATTTTATTAGTATTCACTTTTGAAGCTAATAAGATACCATGGTTTTCTATGTTACTCGCATTGTAACATGAATAAAGTGACTTTCAATAAAAGACTTATGTTATTTTGATGCAGGACTCCCTTTAATCCTACTTTTCTCCCAGCCACAGTTTTTTTCCAGAAGCTTTGTGGGAATACTGTTAGAGGTTGTTTTCTTTTCTGACCTATGTCCTGAAAGTATATGATGAGAAACACAGTTGGCCTTTGAACAATTGGGGCTGGCGGATAGTGGGGGAGTGAGGGAAGCCAGCCACCCCACCCCCTGAGCAGTTGGGTATCTGTGTATAACTTAGCTCTTCATATCCCCAAGTTCGGTATCTGGGGATTCAACCAAGGGACTTGTTTTAGGTTGACTGAATCTGTATTAGTGGACTCTTAAAGCTCAAACCCATGTTGTTCAGGGAACAGTTGTAGAAGGGTTCTGTAGTAAAGCTTGAATGCTCACTTTGTATGGTAATTTCCTCAGCTGGGTGGTAGTAGTCACCTTTGTTTTATCCATCTTCCTTGGCTCATAAATTTTTTTCTTCTTCACCTTACAAGGATCAATTATCTATATTGTGCCAGGTAGTGGTACTATATTTTATTTTATTTTTTTAAAGATTTTTATATAAGAACCGAGGTAGAGGCCAGAGGCATAGGAGGGTGAGAGGATTCACCAGAGACAGAGCGGGGAGCAGAACAGGCATATGAATGGAAATACACTATTGAGGGGAGCAGTGGGCGAGAAAGGAGAGGTCTGCTGCGCCATGTGGGTATCTCCCTGGCAGGCTGGGAAGCAAATCTGCACTGCAGAGGCTGCGGACAGCTTTACAGAGTTGTGCTCAACCCATTGCACCACCGGGGAGGCCCAATACTATATTTTAAAAGCTCTCTTGTGTCACATTCTAAAGCACTGGGCTCTGGGAATTCACTTGAGGTTCATGAGTTCATGGCCTAAAAAATATAGTGTCACCTGCCTTCATTGATTTCTCAAGATCCATCTAACCCCCAGTTTTTACCCTCACACTTTGAATTTCCTTGTTTGCAACTCATGATCTGTGGAAGAAAAATGTAGTTGTAAATAGTCAAGGTGCTGTTTTATTTTTTAGTGCTTGTCTTTTTATTTTTTTTAAAACTCTTAATTGTGGTAACATTGGAATCTCTCCATCAGGTATCACCATTGTAGGAAAAGGCACATTTTTAAAAAAAGATTTATTTATATTTATGCTACAAGAACTGTGGTCTAGGGCATAGGTGTGAGGGGTGGGGGGAGTGGAGTGAGGATTCACCAGAGACAGAGTTGGGAGCAGAAGAGGCAGATCTACTGAAATATACTGCTGAGGGGAGCAGCAGGCAAGACAGGAGAGGTCTGCTGCACCATGTGGTTTAGCTCCCACCCTGGGATGGAACTCATGCTGCAGTGGCTGCTGATAGCTTGATAGCACTGAGACTTTAATCCCTGTGCCAGGGAGGCCCAGAAAAGGTACAATTTTAATGTGAGAAAAATCAAAGTCATTGACTAAGAGTTTGCACATTTATTATGATATTTAAAAATTTTATGGTGATTACATGTAGCCCTATTTCTTATATTTATAATATTCAAGGCATATAATGTTAAGATGAAAACTGATGCAGTTATACACTCAGCTGAGCAAAAACAAAGTGTTTCAGAAACAAGATTCACTTGCATGCCATCTCATGGGCTGATCATACCACCTGGAATATCATACTGAAGTGAAGTCTAAATTCCACTTTGGCTCAACAGGAATGAGAGCCATGATTCATTAAATAAGACTGCACTGGTGTAAATCTACACCATTGTTCTCAGGGGAGACACACCAGGCCCTCTGCAGCCATCTTTTTATGGAAGTGCTTGGAAAAGGTCATAAATACTTTATAAATCAGGAATCTCTTGAAGCACAAGACCAAAGCACACATATATCTAAAACTTTGAGTTGGAGTGATTTGAGGAACGTAATTCTCTAAATAATTCAAGTTCAAGTTTGACCTCATAGATTTACCATGCTCCAACTAAATAACTTGCAGAGACATTGAAGACTAGGCTCCCTGCTTTGGGAAAGAAAAAGTAAAAGCAGAAGTGATAAGACTTGTTATGAGATATCAATAATTAAAAATGAATTAATCAAGTATTCCCAGAAACTTAGTTTTATAATATTTCAGCATTTATCCAAAAGCAAATTCAGAACCATGATTGATGCAATACTCCTTGGGACTAATCACTACAGTAGGATAGTTCAAATATGGCCTATTGAATGGGTCAGCACAGGCCTTCTTCCTTATCATGTTAGAGTCACCCAGGAGTCACCATTCTTTTAAACCATGATCTCTTCAGAGGATCCCAGTGAAATTGAAGCAAATAATAGGTGCTGGGACTCTGAAGTGAATTCTCTGCCTGCTGGCCTCCTGACCCTCTTGGGTATTTTCTGGACAGCTCAGGTGCTAGGAAGCTTTGTGGACTCACATATACTACATCTGGAATGAAAACTAGACTGGCCACAAAATATACAGCAGGCTCCCTTACATTTTAATATGGAGTAGGGGTGTGACTACTAATAGAAATACATAATTATGTTTGAATTGAATCAATATTTAAGTGAGTCAATTATATGTATATATGTGCTATTTTAAGAAATAATTAATAGAATGCAGCTAAGCATGCTTAGCAAGTGTTTTATTTTTACTGATTGACAACTAATTAATTGATCATCTGAATGGTTAACTCTCCCATTTAACTCACATTACACCCTAAAAAAAGATATTCTGCTGGAGAAAAAAAGATATTCCGGAGAAAACAGACTAATGTCATTGTGTTATTAAGCTATCTTGTCTTCATTGTGTAATTAAGCTATTAAGCTATCTTGCAAAATAGAGCCAATCAGGCAGTATTAAATATAAGAAACATAAATATGATTGGTGCTTACTAAACTAACATATTTTTCATCTTTAAACTACCCATGAAATATCTCCTTTTCAAAAAAGGGGAAACTGAGGCTATTTAGATAATATTTAGATATTATCTAAAATGATCAAACCAAATATTTAGTAAGCGGAACAGCCAGCATTGGCATCCAGATCTTACTTAAAAGCCCATAGCTTTTTTAAAAAGTTTGTTTTTTTTTTCACTGTAAAGTGAATACTTGCTTACCAGAGGAAAATTAATAGGAAGGAAGAAAATGAATTCATGATCCTGACTTCCAGTAGTAGACACATCAACATTTTGGTATTCTTTCTAGTCCTGAATACCTATTATATCAAAATGGAAGAACCAACATTTTGAAAATTAACATCTATTTTAAAAGGAAAGCACACACTAGACTTTTGGAAAATACTGAGATATACAAAAGGAAATTAAAGTCACTTAGAATTCCATTAATCAAAAATAACCATATTTAATATTTTCATATGCCTCTAGACTTTTTTGATCCATTTTCTTTTTTACAAGTTAAGCTTATAATGTACAAGGTTTTAATATAGTTAGACAGGTCTGTCTGTCTGTCTGTCTGGGTGATGACAAGAGGAACTTGGTGACAGTATTTACCAAATTATTCAGTAGGTTTTTAAGAGGTAGGAAATAATCACACATGTTCTCTGTTCATTCATATGGCCATCAAAATATCTGTAAGCCTTAAAACCTGTGCTGGTTTTCCACTAAAGTGAGCCCTGAAATGGGTCACTATGTTTTGTTTTACATCCAGGTGGGTATAAAACCTTTACATAAGAAGAAAAATACTCCACACCAAAAACTTTCAATACCATGTAAAAGCCCCTTTAGGCCAGGAAAGACAACAGCTATAGTTGACTGACAAGTTTTTATATACTACAATAAAAAATATAGAACGAGCTTTAAACATCTATACACTTAATTTACATAAAAGAGGCTTAGCAAGAAAATAAGGCATGCTTGACAGTGGTTCAAAGAAGTTCTACATGGTATAATCAACTTGACCTTACATAATAAAATTGCAAAGAATTTATTATCAAAACTAATAACAAAATTTCCATTGTACATAAAGTAGTGAACCTTTACAATAGCTCTTAAGGAAGTGTGGTGGTTTAAGTTTACATACATTACTGAAGGCAAAGAATGAGCAAAAGAGAACTCCAGCCAGAAAGTCGATTATGTTCATACAGCTCCCTCTTGCTTTAAACACTCATGACACACTGAATGAACTGAAAGAGAAAAGTCAGCATTACACTTGGATGATATTTCATATACCTAGCTTATTTTTATGTAGCTTAACACTTTGGTATTCTAATTTGAATTCTGTATTAAAAAAATCCTTTCTAAGGTAAAAGTAAATGATGAATAGAAAGGTTCATTTTTTGAGAGAAGCAGTCTAATATGAAATCCTATGGATTTCACACATACTTCTTATAGGAAGCAGATCTTATTCCAAAAGATAAAGAATTATTTCAATTCCAAATGATATCTAAGACTCTCAAAATAGTCATGGTCATATCAACCAATAATACAAGTAACAATTGAGTTTATATTGTCATGTCACGTGGGGACTTCCAAACTGGACAGTATTACCCCACTATTCTAGCAGGGTACCTTTAAGTAGTCTGTTCACTTAAAATTTGTTTTTAAAAAATATGTCCTCACAAGCAAATATATGCACAAAATAGAATATTTGGCACTTCCCCTATAAATTGGAAACCTTAGTTTTTGCCTCAATATTTGCTGTGAAATGTTTGTTGACTACTAACCACACACTAGAAAACTCTGCTTTTCCATCAAATTTTCTTTTTTACTTTTTTTTTTAATAATAAATTTTATTTTTATATTCCCCATACAATTGCAGCCCCCCCCATTCTGACCTCAATCCCTCCCCTCCCACCCCCGCCCCCTAAAAGTGTCTCTGGTTCGTAGTTTTTTTGTTGATTTTGATTTTCACTTTCTTATAGTTATTCGTTTTCCTGGTCCCTTATTTAAGTTTTCTAGATTCCTGCTATGAGTGAGACCATCTGGTATTTTTCTTTTTCATTTTGGCTTATTTCGCTGAGCATGATCCCTTCCAGTGTCATCCATGTTGCTGCAAATTGCATGTGTTTATCTTTTTTGAATGCTGAGTAATATTCCATGGTATATATGTACCACATCTTCTTGATCCAGTCATCTATTTTAGGGCATTTGGGTTGTTTCCAAAGCTTAGCTATTATAAACAGTGCTGCTATAAACATAGGGGTGCAGGTGTTCTTTGGAATTGATGTTTCTGTGTCCTTTGGGTAAATACCTAGGAGTGGAATTACTGGATCATATGGAAGCTCTATGTTTAGTAGGTCCAGAAATCTCCACACAGCTCTCCACAGTGGTTGGACCAGTTTGCACTCCCACCAACAGTGCAGAAGAGTTCCTTTTTCTCCACACCCTCGCCAACATTTGTTGTTGCTAGTTTTTTTAATATGTGCCATTCTCACTGGTGTAAGATGGTATCTCATGGTAGTTTTGATTTGCATTTCCCTGATGACAAGTGATGTTGAACATTTTTTCATATGCCTGTTGGCCATTTGCATTTCCTCTTCAGAGAAGTTTCTTTTTAGCTCTTCTGCCCATTTTTTGACTGGATTATTTTCTTTGTTGTTGTTGAGTCTCATCAGCTCTTTGCAGATTTTTGTGATCAGTCCTTTATCATTAGTGTTGGGTGCAAAAATGTTCTCCCAGTTGGTGGGGTTTCTCTTTGTTTTTGTTATTGTCTCTTTTGCTGTGCAGAAGCTCTTTAATTATATGTAGTCCCAGCTGTTTATCTTTGCCTTCACTATCACTGCTTTGGGTGATGTGTCTGTAAAGATGTCTTTGATGTGCAAATCACGTAGTGTTTCGCCTATATTTCCTTCTATATATTTTATGGTTTCAGGTCTTATGTCTAGTTCTTTAATCCATTTTGAGTTGATTTTTGTGTATGGTGTGAGGTAGTGGTCAAGCTTCATTCTTTTGCATGTAGCGACCCAGTTTTCCCAGCACCATTTATTGAACAAACTTTCTTTGCTCCAATGCATAGTCTTTGCTCCTTTGTCAAAGATTAGTTGACCATAAATCTGTGGGTTTATTTCTGGATTTTCTATTCGATTCCATTGGTCTGTATGTCTGTTCTTGTTCCAATACCATGCAGTTTTGATGATTATGGCTTTGTAGTAGAGTTTGAAGTCTGGGAGTGTGATGCCTCCATTCCCTTCTTTTTTTTTTCAGTAGAGCTTTGGCTATTCGGGGTTTTTTGTGATTCCATATGAATTTCATCAATAATTGTTCTATTTCTTTGAAGAATGACATTGAAATTTTGATTGGAATAGCATTGAATCTGTATATTGCTTTTGGAAGGATGGCCATTTTAATAATGTTTATTCTTCCAATCCATGAGCAGGGGATGTCTTTCCATTTCTTTGTGTCTTCTTCTATTTCTTTTAACAGTGTTTTATAGTTTTCTTTGTATAGGTCCTTTACCTCTTTTGTTAGATTTATTCCCAAATATTTGATTTTTTTTGTTTCAATAAAAAAGGGATGGTTTTTTTGATTTCTTCTTCTTCAGATTTATTGTTTGTGTATAGGAAGGCTACTGACTTTTGCGTGTTGATTTTGTATCCTGCCACTTTACTGAACTGATTGATGAGTTGAATTAGTTTTTCTGTGGAGTTTTTGGGGTTCTCTATGTATATTATCATATCATCTGCAAATAGTGATAGTTTGACTTCTTCTTTTCCTATTTGGATTCCTTGGATGTCTTTCTCTTGTCTTATTGCTCTGGCTAGGACTTCCAGTATTATATTGAAAAGCAGTGGTGAGAGTGGACATCCTTGTCTTGTTCCAGATCTTAATGGAATTGCTTTCAGCTTTTCACCATTGAGAATGATACTGGCTGTTGGCTTGTCATAGATGGCCTTTATGATGTTGAGGTATGTTCCTTGTATCCCAAGAATTTCAAGGGCTTTTATCATGAATGGGTGTTGCACTTTGTCGAAAGCTTTCTCAGCATCTATTGATATTATCATATGGTTTTTATATTTCTTTTTGTTGATGTGTTGGATAACGTTGATTGATTTTCGGATGTTAAACCATCCTTGTGTCCCTAGAATGAATCCTACTTGGTCGTGGTGAATTATCTTATGGATACATTGTTGGATTCTGATAGCTAAAATTTTATTGAGGATTTTTGCATCAGTGTTCATTAGGGAGATTGGCCTGTAGTTTTCCTTTTTTGTGTTGTCCTTGTTCGGTTTTGGTATTAGTGTAATGTTGGCTTCATAGAACGTGTTTGGTATTGTCCCTTCCTTCTCAATTTTTTGGAAGAGTTTGTGAAGGATAGGCACTAATTCGTCTCTGAATGTTTGGTAGAATTCATTTGTAAATCCATCAGGTCCTGGGCTTTTGTTTTTGGGGAGGTTTTTGATTACCATTTCAATTTCGCTGCTTGTAATTGGTCTGTTTAGGTGTTCTATTTCTTCTTTATCTAGCTTTGGGTGATTGTAGAGTTGTAGGAATTTGTCCATCTCCTCTAGATTGTTAAACTTGTTTCCATATAACTGTTCATAGTAGTTATTAATTATTCTTTTGATTTCTGCTGTGTCCGTTGTGATTTCTCCTCTTTCATTTATTATCCTATTTATTTGTGCTTTCTCCCTTTTTGCCCTTGTGAGCCTGGCTAGGGGTTTATCTATTTTATTTATTTTTTCGAAGAACCAGCTCTTGGTTTCATTGATCTTTTGGATTGTTTTTTTAGTTTCAATTTCATTTATTTCTGCTTTGGTTTTTATTATTTCTTTTCTTCTACTGGTTTTGGGGTTTTTTTGTTGTTCTTTTTCTAGATCTTTGAGCTTCGAGATTAGGTTGTTTCTTTGAGTTCTTTCTTGTTTCTTGATGTGAGCTTCTATTGCTATATATTTTCCTCTTATTACTGCTTTTGCTGCATCCCATACATTTAGGATATTGGTGTCCTCCTTGTCATTCAATTCAAAGAATTTTTTAATTTCTTCTTTGATCTCCTCATTAGTCCAGTGGTCTTCCAGTAGTGTGGTTTTTAATCTCCATGAGGTAGGAAAGTTCCTTGCCTTCTTTTTATGGTTTATTTCTAGTTTGATGCCTTCATGGTCAGAAAAGATGGTTGATATCATTTCAATCTTGGTGTATCTGTTGATGTTTGTCTTGTGCCCCAGTATGTGATCGATCCTGGAGAATGATCCGTGTGCGCTTGAGAAAAATGTGTACTCCGTTTTTTTGGGGTTTAGTGTTCTATAGATGTCTGTTAAGCCCAATTGCTCTAGGTCCTTATTTAGAGCTTTGGTTTCTTTACTTATTTTTTGTCTTGTTGATCTATCCATTGTTGATAGTGGTGTGTTGAAGTCTCCCACTACGTATGTGTTTTCTCTGATGTCTGTTTCCAGAGAGGACAACAGTTGTCTGATATATTTTGGTGCTCCTTCGTTTGGTGAGTATATGTTAATGAGTGTTATTTCTTCTTGAAGTATTGTCCCCTTGATCATAATGTAGTGACCATTGGAGTCTCTTTTTATCTTTTTGAGTTTGAAATCTGTTTTATCTAAGTATAGCTGTTCCTGCTTTCTTTTTTGGTCCATTTGCTTGTAGGATTGTTTTCCATCCTTTAACTTTGAGCCTATTTTTATCTTTTGTAGCTAAATGTGTTTCCTGGAGACAGCAAAAGGTTGGGTTTTGTTTCTTAATCCAGGCTGCAACTCTGTGTCTTTTTATTGAAGAGTTTAGTCCATTTACATTTAGAGTTAATATTGATATGTTAGCATCTGTATTTGCCATTGTGTTTGTCTTTCCTTTGATTTTATTTATTTATTCTTTTAATAACTTTTTTTTTTTTTGGCCTTCTTTCATTGTTATTCGTCCCTCTGAGGTTCTGGCTTTAGGACTCCTTGTAGTATTTTTTGGAGTGGGGGTTTAGTTGTAATGAAATTCCGGAGTTTCTGTTTGTCTGGGAAGGTCCATATTCTTTCTTCAAAGAGGAAGGAGAGCTTTGCGGGGTAGAGAATTCTTGGTTGGCATCTGTTTTCTTGGAGTCTGTTGGCTATGTCCCTCCACTCTCTCCTTGCCTGTAGTGTTTCTTCGGAGAAGTCTGATGTCAGCCTGATTGGCTTTCCTTTGAATGTTATCTGTTTCTTCCCTCTTGCCAGCTTCATTATTTTTTCCTTGTCCTGGATTCTTGGGAGCTTTACTATTATGTGTCTTGCTGTATTTTTCCTTTCGTCGTGGAAGTTTGGTGTTCTTCTTGCTTCTTGTATATCAATTTTCAGCTTCTTCTTCACATTTGGGAAGTTCTCTTCAATTATCTCTTTGAATATTTTCTCTGTTCCTACATCTCTCTCCTCTCCTTCTGGTATTCCTATAACTCTTATATTTCCTTTCCTCATGGAGTCAGATAGTTCCCGAAGTCTTTCTTCGTTCTTTTTCCTTCGTACTTCTCTTTCCTTTTCTGTTTTGGTTCTTTTTATTTCTGTGTCTTCAAGAGTACTTATTCGTTCTTCCATTTCATCTATTCTGCTTTCATTGCTTTTCCCAGAATTCTTTAGTTCTTCCATTAATTCTTTGATCTCCTGCATTTCTTTTACTTCCCTCTTTAGGGACTCAATTTCATTCTTCTGACCATTGTTTTCCCTCTTTAGGGACTCAATTGCATTCTTCTGATCATTGATTATTTTTCCCTTATCATTGTTTTCCTTTATGACTTCTGTCAGTTTTTTAATCACGGCAATTTTAAATTCTCTTTCTGGAAGGCTCAGAAGTTCTTCCAAGTTACTGTCGTTGCAATCTGGGGGCTGGTTTTCTTTGTGTGGTGTGCTTTTTCCCTGGGGAGTTGCTAGGTTGCGTGTGGTTCTTCTCCTCCCTACTGTCTGTTTTCTAATTTGCCGTATGCGTTGGGACACTGTGTAGTTGGGACTGGCCGGCATCTTGGGTGAGCTTCTCTGCTCTCCTCTGGTTCCTCCAGGAGTCATCTGTCAGTTTCAAGCAGTCTTTACTGGAGAAAGGTCCCTGTTCTAAAATGCCGATGTGGGGACACACTCCCCTGTGCGCCTGGTCTGCCCCAGCGGTGGGTTCCTGCTCCCCCTCTGGGCTTGGACTGCAGGCCAGAGGGGGTCTGGCGTGGGCGAACTTCCCCCGCTCACCTCTGGCTCCTGAGGAAGCCTTCTGCAGGTAGTCTTTACTGAAGAAATGTCCCTGTTCTAAAATGGTGATGTGGGACCCACTCCCTGCGCGTCCGGTCTCAGGCACACTCTTCTGCGCGCCTGGTCTGCCCCGACTATGGGTGCTCGCTCCCCCTGTGGGCTCAGACTACTGGTTGGAAGGGGCCCGGCGTGGGCTAACTCCCCAGCTGGCCACTGGCTCCTCTAGGCACCTCTGCTGGCTTCAAGTCACTAGGTGGCGCCAGAGATCTCTCCTGGAGCCCTTGGGGAGCTGATTTTCCACCCCGTGGGACAGGGAATAGAGCGGGAATGGTAGGGTAAACCTCAACGGCTTTGGGGTGCTGTGTCTGCCTTGTGCCCCACCGTCGTGGGGAACCCACGCCCCTAATTTCGTGCCCCGGGTCTCAGTTCCAAAGCCCTCAGTTCCAGGACTCAGGCTGTAGCCCAGTTCAGTGGCGCGGGAATGGCGCCTTTTGAATCCGCTCCCGTGCCTGGGCGCCTGGTTCCTGCTCACTCAGGGAGGGCCTCCGCGCGTCTCCCCGCAAGCCTAGGTCACAGGCGCAGGGACCTGGGCAGCTGGGATCTGGATCCGCGTTTGCTTTTCAACTGCACTGCTTTTCCGCGCACGATCCCAATTCCGATCCGCACTTGGTTTTCCAGCGCGCCGCTTTTCCCGCGCAATCCTGATCCCGGTCCGCGCCTGCTTTTCCAGCGCGCCACTTTTCCGCAAGCTTACAGGGCGGCCCGGGGCTGTGTGCTGGTGCTGGTCTCCTCCCCGGGGGCGGGGTCTCTCTTTAATGGCGCCTGGAGCGCACCTCCGCAGCGGCGAATCCTGCAGGATTCTCCACAGCTCCCGTTCACGGGGTGTGGTGGCTGAGATAGTTCCTTTCCACTCACAGTCCCGCTTGCTGCGTAGTTTGTTCTTGTTGGTCGTTTTAGTTTGTTGTTTTCCTCCTCTCTGCTGGTCGGAGAGTGCCGCCTCTGTGGGCGGGGGAGGGGAGCAGGGTTCTGCGCTTTCCTCCCTTCTGGTCCTCTTTTATGGCAACTTTCTTCTTCGGGCAGTTTGCTGGAGTCACCCATTTATCTTCCGTGTCCCGGTTCTCACTGGGACCTGCCCCTCCCTATTAACTTTTTTTAATGGGAGATCTTACTCGCAGCGTCTCCTCGCCCGCCATGTTGCTCCGCCCCCTCCCCAAATTTTCTTTTTTACTTTTCCTACAGCTGTGAGGTAATGTGCACTTTACTCTTTGCAGCATTCCTGCAAGGCCAATATAATTATCCCTAATTCAGGGAAAAGGAAACTAAGGATCAAGATCATTAGATATCTCTTAGTTGCCCCATCTGAGGTCACAGGCTACCTCAGTGTCTTTGGAGAAAGTGACAGGACTGTCACTGAGAAGTGATGCAGAGAACATACTTTTAAGAAATAAATATATTTACATACATCCAAGTCTTTTAAAAGTGTCATCATAACTGCAGCAGCTTCCAAATGGAAAACATGTGCATCTTTGTATTTTATAATGGAAAAACATTTTAGAATATTTAATTATCACAGTGATTTCAATTCTGAAAGTTTTTTTTTAAATCAACGGTTGAACAAAAATAGGGAAAAAACTATCTCTCTAGCTTGGTTATGCATATCTAACACCATCACACTTACATGACCTTATCCTGCCTCACTGAGTGTGGTTGTTTCATAACTTGTTTTGAATTGTGACTTAAGTTTATGACTGTCCTCAATGAAGAATATGTGGCAAGTACAACTGTGAGCTATTAAAGCTACTTTCAAAGACTGGCATGATGTTTTTAGAGAAGACAAAACCAGATATATGGTGTTTTTCAGTGAGGAAAGCATTATTACTACTTCTCCATTCCTCAAATGGTCTCAGAGCAAAGAAGACACTGTCTAAGTGACCTAGCTAATTATGCCAATAAGACTAATGAGACTAATAAGACTAAAAGACCTTGAACTAAGTCTTTTCATGCAAATCAAACAGTGGCCTAGGATAAGACTAGTTAGTGATATATGATATTAGTGATGAATTTTAAATGACAGCACTTCCTGACCATTACTTTGATTGCTCAGGCATCACTAAATGTTCTTAGCAGCTCACTTCCAAAGGGATACCCATTTTGTACATGTTGCCCATCTGCTTAGTTCTTAATTTACTGAGACTTACATCATCATATGGGAAATTCACAACACCTTGCTGAGCAGTATCCCGTCTTCGAAAGCTATCTGTAAAATACCACAGTAAAATTTGTTATTTGTAATATCTAAAATTGCAGTAGTTAATTATTTTAGCATTGGATTTAAATATGTTGGTGAGGATGTGGTGAAAAAGGAACTCTCCTACATTGCTGGTGGGAGTGCAAACTGGTCCAACCACTATGGAAAACTGTCTGGAGATTCCTCAGTCTACTAAAAATGGAGCTACCATATGACCTAGCAATTCCACTCCTAGGGATCTACCTAAGGGACACAAAAAACATTGATTCAAAAGAACACTTGTACCCCCATGTTTATTGCAGCACTATTTACAATAGGTAAAACCCGGAAACAACCCAAATACCCAAAAATAGATGGCTGGATCAAGAGATGTGGTATATGTATTATTCAGCAATCAAAAAAGATAAACTCATGCCATTTGCAGCAATGTGGATGGAGCTAGAAGGAATTTGCTTAGTGAAATAAGCCAGAAGGAAAAAGAAAAATATCAGATGGTTTCACTTATAGCAGGAATATAGTGGAAACAAATAAGATGTCAGTGTAAAAAAATAATAACAGTACAAAACACAACAAAGCAAAATCAAACAATTATAAATAGGAGACATACTGCAGGGGAGGAGGCAGAAAAGGGATCAGAGGGAGGGAGGGAGGAGCACAGGGGACTGAGGTGATGGTGCATGGGAGCACTGGTGAAGGAAACTTTATGGGGACTACACCTGAGGGGTTGGGGGGAAGCAAATATTGTTTAAAAATGAACAACGATGTAAAAAAAATTAAAAATTAGTTTAAAAGGATTGACAGTTTTAAAACTGAAAAAAAATAAATCATAGCAACATATATATTATAAAACCAAGAAACATAAACAATAGACTGAAGCACAGAAGCCCACTAAATGAATATGAATACATTTAATACGCAACTACATAATATATATGTAGAAATTGCTCTTATATGATGTGGAACTGGAGAAAACATCATATTAAAAGCTAGCAAAGGTGTGTGTCTTCTGAGGGCAATTCTTAATTATGATGAAAGTACAGTCAGAAGTGCGGGAGGTGAGAGAATTCACCAGAGCCAGAGCAGGGAATAGAACAGGCAGACTGACGAAATACACTGATGAGGGGAGCAGCAGGCACGGCAGGAGAGGTCTGTTGCGCCACGTGGAACCCTTGCCAGTGGCCTGGGATCGAACCGGTGCTGCAGAGGCTGCAGGCAGCTTTGCAGCCCAGTGCTCAACCACTGCGCCACCAGGGGAGCCCAGCATTCTAAATTTCTTATGATAAAAATTCTGTTTAGTTAGGAAATAGAAGAAGTCCCCAATATGACGGGCTATGATCACATACCTCAAACATTTGAGCTCTGCCCTACTAAAAAGAATTTAATAAAAACTTTGTCTTCAGGGCCTCCTATGGTGGCGCAGCGGTTGAGCGCTGGGCTGCGGAGCTGCCTGCAGCCTCTGCAGCACCGGTTTGATCCCCGGCCGCCGGCGAGGGTCCCACATGATGCGCAGACCTCTCCTGCCGCCTGCTGCTCCCCTCAGCAGTGTATTTCGTCAGTCTGTCTGTTCTGTTCCCCACTCTGGCTCTGGTGAATTCTCTCACCCTCCCGTGTTTCTGACTGTACCCAGTGCTTGTATAAATAAATAAACAAACGAAAAAAAATAAATCTTAAAAAAAAAAACAAAAAAAAAACTGTCTTCAAATTTTTAGAATGCAAAAAACTGATAAAATCAACTACTAAAAGGAGTAAAACACTAGAGGATGAAGTGGAACAAAAAACTATCTACAAAATAAAAAAGAAATGAAAAGTAGAGATTACAGAAATTATCTCATTTAAGAAATATGTCTGAGTCATTTAAAATTTTCCATAGGAGGAATTCGGAAAGAGGTTCATAAATGAGTTCACTTTTGAAATATTTCCTATTCTAAGGAGAAAGCACAGGATACTGTTCATACTCTGATCAAATGCACAAATTAGCTTGTAATGTTTTGGAATATTTTAGTAAAAGGTAGTTAGGATTATTTACTGGCAGATTTCTTACTAATCTAAAAAAAATTCCTGAGAAAAATAACAAACACCAGAAATATTCTGGTATATATTCTTGATAGCAATGTTTAACAGGCACTGAGGTTAGAGGAAAAAGGAGAATGGGGGCAACAAAAGTTCAGAAGCACTGAGATATGAAATGTCATAAAAATTGTGCGCTCTTGATGAACTATCCCTTCATCATTACATAGTGTCCATTTTTGCTCCAATTACCTTTTTTAACTGAAAGTCTAGTGTAGCTGACATGAGAATAGCAATTCCTGTTTTTCTCTGTAGATTATTAGCTTGAAAAACCATGCTCCAACCTTTCAGTTTGTTTACATTTCTTGGTTTTAAAAGGCTCTCTTGTACAAAACATGCGCACATTTGGAGGAGCAAAAATGTAACCCTCCTAAACTAAAATAAAGTTTTAAAAATGTGCACTCCTGGCTCTGGTGACATGGTATCAAAGAACACACCTGTGAGAGCTCTCAGTTTGACACAGCAGGCAATGTAGTCATCGAAGGTGATCTTTCCATTGGTGCTGTATCGTTTTGCAATTGAATTCACAGCCTGGGGACTCAACCTAAATCCTGAAAGGAAGAGAAACCGTCCAGCAAAAATGTAAAACACCATTAAAAATAATCAAGCACAATCAAGACTGAGAGTAAAAACGCATACTACTCCTAGGAAATATAAACTGCCCTCATGTATAGTTACTTTTAAGAATAAAAACAACTTACACTTCTACCAAGGAATATTCACTTCAAGTTGGCCATACCCACCCATTGTAGTCAGGGCCTTTTGCAATTCCTGAGGATCCACAGTTCCACTCCTATCAGTGTCAAAACTGATGAAGTGTTGTCTCCAGCCATTCAGCACAGCCCAGAGTTCTTTAAATTCAGTGAAACCCATTGTGCCTGACATATCTCTCTGAACAATAATCAAGGATTAGAACATCTTTATTTTGCAACATTTTCTAATGATTAAGTCAAAGATCAAGTATAAGGGAATTTACAGTTCTGCTAAAAAAGATTAAAAGAATCATATGTTCTTCGTGGTATGGTATAATAAAAAGATAATGATATATTAGGAATGACTTATAGAGTGAAAGCTCTGAATACATATTTTCACTGTGGGGAAAGGATAATCTCAGTGACATGACTAGAAGGAAATAGATGGCCACTGTGAGTCATGTATAAAAAAGTCATTACTGGGCTGCACCTTCTGAGTGCCCCCACACTGTGTTGCTCACCCCACCGCTGTCCACATTCCTTTGTTTTGGCCTCCCAGATTGGAAAATGAGGTGGGATGGAAGACACTAGGGAGAATGATGCAAAGCCGGTTTAACAACTGTGGTGTGAAAAATCCCATCCTTACAGGTCAGGTGTGAATCACACAGAGCCATCAGCATTAAGCAAGAAAGGTACTGTTTCCACTCTGCTTTTGATACTTTTCTCCTGGGATGTTGACTTGAATTCTTGAACAACCAACATTCCATTTACTGAGTCATTCCTTCTTCATAAAAATTATATCTTAAAAAGCTAATTATTTCAGAAAATATTTTTGTAGTAATTTGCCATTTTGTGTTTACTGGGTATTCTTCATTGAATTCTATTAAGGAGTAATATTTTTGTCAGGGAAAAATATTCTAGACAAACATGATAAAGGATACATCGAGCATTGAAACCATAAGCCGACAGGTCTCCAGGTTAAAAGCTGTTAAAGCAAGAAAAGTACATATTATTACAATTTTAAATATTCACATATTAGATACAGTCACATTAATCAGGAATGTGATTATTTATACATTCTTACTTTTATATACTACTCAACTTGTGTGGAATTATATGGAGCTTTGATGTAGATTTTCTCCAGAGTGGGTTATTTCTAGAACTCAAATTGATTTTAACAACTTCATAGTAAACTTGTTAAAAAAAATATTGCCTAGTACTGTTAATACGTTTAAATGTAATTATGGTTTTGAATTTGGAGAGAAAAGTGTTCTTTTAGAAAAATATACAATGAAAATATTTGTAGATTAAATGAAAGTTAAAATACTTAGAAGTTGCTTCAAAACAAAACAGGCAAGGGGGTATAGGTGACACAAGAATAGCAACACCTGCACTGACAATTGTTGAATTTGAGTGAGGGGTACATAGGAGCTTATTGTTTAATTATGTCTGTTCTTGGAGAGATTTAACATTTTCTATAGCACAGACTTTTAAAAGTACAACACGCCTTTTATTACCTTTAAAACTATAATATAATGAGTTTACTTCACCGTAATGCACCATAATATATCCACCATGGCAGATAGGAAAGTAGGGTTGCTTTGTTTCAACTCACAACTAACTATAAATAGTTGATTCTGTGGTTCTTTGTCTATTTATTTTTCTTTGTTTTTCTTTTAATGTAAGGCACTGAAAGTTAACTTCCTAGCTCTACTAGCCTATGATGTCTTCAAATACAATAAAATTATATATGAAACCAGATAAATATGCTTGATAAAATTATATGGTAAATAAAAACACTCTGGAGTATGTTCTAATGACCAACTGAGTAATGGCCATTGTTCAGAAGGCTTTTCAGTTTACTGAGAGACTGCAGGTTCTCTGAGGGCATCTCCAGACCTCACTTAAGACAATCAAACTAGAATACATGCATTGGTTAATGGTCTGTAAGTAACTTACCTAAGCATTAGAAAATTACAAGGATGTAAGTCCTTGCATTTTACATTATGAAAATGGAATCAATAACTTTGAGGAATACTTAAGTACAAAGAAGTTGTAATGCTAAAAGATACGACAAGGATCACATTGACAAAGTTAGTACAAAATGATAAAATTTGCTGAGATGTACATAGAACTATAGTGCATTTTTACAGCTCCTTCTGAGCTAACTCTTATTACTACAATGTCTCCAAAGATACAAACTATAAGTTCTCCACTACAATTCCTGTGTTTGGCATATTAATTAACCAGGAAAAAAACAAACAAACAAAAAACAACTGGAGACTATTTCAACTTATTCTTTAAATTTCCATTTGGGGGCCTCCCCCGCAGGCAGTTGAGCTTGAGCTCCGTGCTGTGAAGCTGTCCACAGCCTGTGCAGTAGTGATTAGATCCCGGCCGGCAGGCCCGGCGAGGGTCCCACATGGTGCGGCAGACCTCTCCTGTCTAGTGTTTTGCCCGCTGCTCCCCTCAGCAGTGCATTTCGTCAGTCTGCCTATTCTGTTCCCTGCTCTGTCTCTGGTGAATCCTCTCACCCTCCCGCGCATCTGGCCTATACCCCGATTCTTGTATAAATAAATAAATAAATCTTAAATAAATAAATAAATAAATTTCCATTTGGCCCACAGATACAATTCTCTGAGGATGCAACAATTTTCTTTTATTTTGAGAAAGAATCAGTTGGTTCTTTATTCAGACTTTCAAATTGTATGTGGATTCATGTAGCAGTATAAAGTCTCTCTAGTCCAGCCCAGTGGTTCTCAACCATACCTGTTTATCAGAATCACTCAGAGGCTTGAAAAGATTCTGATGCTTAACTATACCACAGAACCTTTTTTTTTTTGCTTTACTGAGATATAACTAACATATACCATCGTGTAAGCTGAAGATGAAGAAATGTTTTGATATATGCATATATTGCAAAATGATTATTACAACAAGGCTAGTTTACACCTCACATAGTTACCCTTTGTGCATATAAAACAGTATCATTAAGTGTAGTTACCTTCACTACAGAACAATTAAATCATAATCTCTGGGTACAGGCCCCCAGGCATCAGAATTTGCAAACTAAGTTTCTCCTATAATTAATGAGCAACCATGGTTGAGACCACTGTTGTACCTGATATATGATTCCTGGATCAGTCATGAGTTTGTCTGAATCGCACAATGTCAGTCCTTAACCTACAGCAATACAATCAGAATCTGCAGTTTAACAAAATCCTCAGGTGATATATTTCACATTTAAGCAACTGGTTTAACCTGAACCAATATCACCTAGAAACCTGTTAGACATGCAAATTCTCAGGTCTTACTCCAGACCTTTGAATGAGAAACTCTAGGACAGAGGCCAACAATCTGGTTTTATCAGGCTTTCTAGGTTATACTGACACTGCCAACGTTTAAGAACCACTACTCCATGAGATCTGACAACCATAGGAGAGGGCCAATTAAGCTTGGCTTTACGCTAAGGATTTTGAGGAGTCCTGAAGCAGACAGCTTACCTTTCAGTTTTATGAAGGCACCACCAACCACCTGATCACATAAGTCAGAAAATTGGAGCATCCTCTCCTCAATCACTTTCTAATTCTAAACAGTTTTAGGATCCATCCATTTCCAGCACCACTGTAAATTCCTGGGGTTATTTAGCATGAATCTCACCTGTATAACCCCAGTGGCCACTTACCAGGATCCCTGACAACCCATGTTCCCAAGTTTGGTGTTTATCAAAAGGCCAGGATAGTATGTGCTCTTCTCTATTAAACCTACTATACCACTGCTCCCAGGGTGAAGTCCAAATACCTTAGTTGGCATATAAGTTCACACACCTATTTACCCAGGCTAGCCAGTTTCCCACTCTTCATTTAACTCCCACATATTATCTTTATGGTGAATATTTCTCAATTTCTTCACTGAACTGTGCTCCCTCTCACTCTGGGTCTTCTTTTACATGCTGTTTGTTCTATCTGCCTGGAACATGCTTCCGTTTTGTGGCTAAAGAGCTACTCAGGGTATTGAGAGGAGGAGAGTAACAGGCTAGAACTCTGTGTCAGGAAGAAAAAAAATCTGGTCATCTTTTGTGAGAATGATTTAAAAGAGAGGAAGAGATAGGCAAGTGGACCAAATTGAACAAACAGAAAATTCACCATTCCCAACAGTTTTAATGAACAAGAAAATTAACAATGGTCTTATAGATTGTAGCAAATTGGTTAAGAAGGTGCCCATAGTTACTGTCCACCCACTCCCCAAACTGTGCCTTTGGGTTTGGAAGGTGGTCTTAAAATACCAGTGACTGTATAATTTCTATATTACAAAACTCACTCCGTCATCTCACAAACAGGACTGTGGCTATTAACAGCCTCTACAATCTCTACCACATGGCCTTGAATGACTCAGGAAATGTCTTCTGTATACCTCAGTGAGTTATTAAAGTCCATCACAAAATGTAGCTCTTTCTCAGATGAGTTTTAAAAGGACTGGTCTCCAAGGATATACAACCCACTTTGTCAGTCAGATTTTAAGCCTACCACACCTCTTCCACTGAAAGGCAGAATAATAGTCTCTGCTGTGACAAAGCTCACTTTTGCAACCCTGCTATTAGAACTTCTTTGTTCATAGTCCTATTTGCTTGAGCTTAACAATGACTGAAATGTATTGTCTACAAGTGAAAAAGCCCCTAATCTAGAAAGGGCTTCTTTTGTTTAAGGGCAGATTAAGTGACAGAAATGCAAAAGGTTCCTCTCATAAATTAATTCCCCAACCAGGAAATATTAATAGGATACTGAAATCATAAAATAAGGGATGACAAAAATAGAAATGCAAATAATTTAAGGAAGAGAATCATTAATAAATATGTCATGCTAAGTAATCAAAAGCCACCACTATAAATCCTTGGGTGGGGATCCTAGTTTGAACACGCTCATTCAAAGCTTGCCAAGAAGTTGGGGTTTTGATTTTCTCTATCCTGGGTATTTGTCAAGATCATGATCAAGATTTCATTTCCAAAGGTCATGTGGTATGTGTGTGTGTGTAGATGATGAGAAACACTCAGTCAGGATGTAGCATCTCTGCAAATGTTTGCTATCTGCAGCTCATGGAAGATAGTTAAAAGGCAGGAAGGGAGGTATAGGTGCAGGATGATGTGGCAGCAAATCTAACCTGTGAGGCCCTGGGAGGAAGAGAAAGAGGATAAGTGTAAAGAGTTCAGGAACTAAGAAGGACACTTTTTATTCAGTCTGAACTTTTCATTCAGTCTGAACACTCTCTGAAGTGGAAAGAGGAAAGACTTGGGAGATGTGGCAAGGATTCATCTGCCTGTAGCACTCCTAGAACTCACAGTGAAAGTACAGAACTGGATTCTTGAGGACAAAGGGGTGAGAGACCCAACCAATCTCTCAGAACCAGTAATGTGGGACAGGCCACATGGGGATCAGGTACAAAGGAACAGTCACTTAGGTGGTACCCTAAGTGCCACCAGGTTTGGGACAGAGTAAGCTCTTGACAAACAGTAGTAAATGTTACCTCAATCATTAATGACATCTGACCTGGCAGATTTCCTTTCAACACCTCAACTCATCCTCTGTGAAGGAGACCACACAGACTGCTATTGCTTTGAGTGCTTCTAGCTATAGGGGGCCCCAATCTAAGAAACCCCCTAAGCTGCTGGGTAGAGTGGAATGATTTATTAAGAACTATTTCAAATTAACATTTTGAAATGATAATGACCTAACTTAGTTTCTGACATTCTTAACTTTGCTGGATCAGAAATACTCACTTTCTTTGAAGGCTATATGACAAGTAACTAAACTATGAAACGTAAGAGGCCTCTGAGACTGTCAACTTACGTTTGTATCCACCGGCAATGCCTGACTGTGTCAGGCATCTCTGCAATTCGTCAGCATCTATTTGCCCATCCTTTTGAAAAAAATAGGGAGAGGAATTAGAATCACAATAGTGATTTGTGCTTTTTAGTTCCTTATTTACTTTTAATATTCAATGTAGCCAAAAGAACAAAGAAAATGACTATTATGATGCATGACTTTCTTTTAAAGGAAGTAGGCATTCATTTCTCCATTTTCTTCCAAAAGTAATCTAATGATTAAAGACAAATTATTAAGTCTTCTTCCACAAATAGATAATTAGGGCCAGAAACAAAAAGTACATTGCTTAATCCCTTGGTAAATTGGGCATTCAATTTCAGAGTCCATTTTTAAATAAATAATACACAAAAATAAATTCTGAAAGCTACTTTCATGTACACTTTAGTATTACAGTATCCTTTCATCTGTTCTTCTAAACTCCTGCATTAGATTTGGCATAAACATTCCCATGTATAAAGTTCCCCTTTTAATAAAACAGAGGTGAATTTAGTTCCCTCCATTATACATAATATTTTAAAATGTATGAATAAAACTAGTTTCCATTTCAAATGACTCTTCACAATCTGAACTAGGAAATTGCCAAAGTAAAGCATTTTTAAATAAAAATATGGAGTTGCTTAAAAATCTTCTCCCTCTTTCTAGCTTGGGGGTAGATGAGAGAGTAGGTTACACAGTTAATACAAAGCTTGGTCCAAACAGGCCTCTCTGATCACCCTTTCTTATAGTATGATCAATGGTTTATCAGAATACAATGCTATCTGGAAAATACAGGTTTCCTGTGCCTATTCACCAGCTGACCAAGTCCGAGTTAGATAATATGCTATTTCAGGATTAAATATAAAATACCCAAATCTTCAAGTTTGTGGGTATTATAAATTCTAGATGAGAAGCAGGATCACTAATTTGAAAGACAATGGATATTCCAGTACAGGCCAAGGCTGCTGAAAGCTAAGGAGGTGGGGTCACTTACACCCTGAAGTCATAGGCAATCTAAGAATACAAGTCTTAAGGTTTGCCATCTCTTGTGGTTTCAAAGATACAGATCATTAACCGATGGAGCAGATACTTAAGGGGAAGCTCTTTCAATTTTAGACTCAATTTTCCATTCAAATTCTCAAGTTGCATTTCTTAGATGGCTATTCAAAAAGGTGATCTTGGAATTTTATCCCATATGTTCTAGAGCATTTTCACATTCAGATTTTGTTATTTTTAGCTTTTGATAAAAACAAAGCCAAGTTGAATGTGGAAAAGAAAATATCCCCTCTGGGTTAAACCAACATTATAATTACTGTACACAGTGACTTTGTAAGCTAGGTACATGTCCTCCTTCAAATTGCCCCCACCTGTCAATACAACTCATAATACGGAGGAGTCAAAGGTCTTGGGGACCTGACCTTAATCCTCTCTCTGGGTTAACAGACCACAATGCTTAATAAGGACATAGAAGAGCTGACTTGGTAATACCACTGCTCAAAGAGAAACTAAACTGTTCACAACATTAATTTCCTGAGAGTAAGAAGAGAGTAGTGACTTATTTTGAAAATGGTGAGTTTTTACCAAAAGTCCCTATTTACTGAGGGAAGAAGGGAGAGGTACAGGTAATTGATTAACAATCAAATTCAATCCAATCAAATTCAATCCAAAGAGAATGTCTATTAGAATCTGGCCACCTAACTCTCAGTTGTACTAACGAGTTTATATTCAAGAAAGCTGGATTTTTCCCTGAAAATTACCCTAGACCTGGCAATTCTGTTCTAAAGACACCTGTCTAACTTACTGCTCTTCAAAACATATTCATAATTTCCTTTCTGCTCAATCTTACACTAATTCAACCACAAGTTTAGTTCTGAATTGAATTAGTATAAATAACAATAGTTTGTCCTAAACTTGTTCTAAATATCAGAAATAAATAACAGACTATACATTTTCTTCTTTCTCTTTTTTCTTTTGCAGAAGCAATGGGATTCTTTCCCAAAGGAAAGTTCCTTTTTCTGTGCCAATATAACAAACTAACACAAATGTAGAATCTGGCAATTCTTTAATATTAAAGGAAAAATCTAACCTGTCCAGCCACAGCAGCAAAGTAACCATAAAGTGGATCCTGAGTTTGTCCAGGAAATGCAGGCCCTCCGGGAGCCCCTCCATACTGTGAAATAGGAAACATAAAGGCATCATCTGGCTGAATCAAGTTTTTTTTTTTTTAATTTAATAAATTAATTTTTTTTTAACCATTGAGTACCTTACAGTGAGGTCAGGCATCTGTCCTCCATATCATTTGCCTCCCACCAGGAGGCCACACTCTTACAGTAATCACCCCACCCCCTTTATTCCATTTTCACCCACATTATTATTTAAAAACTGGTGGTTTGGATCAAAATGAGTAGTCCTAATAGTAACATAAGCACAAGTGAAACAACTTAAAAAGTCCCTATTACCTGGCAGTTTACTGAGGTAAATGCAACCTAGGAAAACTTTTTTATGTTTATGGGTATTCATAAAGCTCTTTAAGTACCAATAGGGTTGGATTTGATAAAATACTGAGACACGTGTGGTCTAGAGGAGGCAAAAGTTCTCTTGGCTGGGCTATTTACCGGCGTGGGAACCTTCAGTCTTGGAAGCAGTTCCCAAGCCAATGGGCATCCCAAACCAACTACAGGCAGACTCCTGAAACTCGGAGGACTTTTTACACCAGCAAACTTTCTCTGACATTTTTACCCTGAGAGAGAGAGCGCGAGAGAAGGAGGGAGGGAGGGAGAGAGGGAGAGAGAGAGAGAGAGAGAGAGAGAGAGAGAGAGAGAGAGAGAGAGAGATGGCTCTGAACCATTCTAGATTAAAATGGCTGTTGCTCTTAGGAAAAACAAGGAAGGAGGGAGGAGGAAGAAGCCAACACCCCACTTGCACAATTTCACGCTATGTTCCCCAGTAACAGGGCGAGTTTCTAGGGTCACAGCCCCTATGCACTCTAGCCCCGTGGAGCCACCCTTTGGGTGAAAGAGAGATCAAGGGGGAAGTCAGAGAAAAAGGAGGAAGTCAGGGGCCCTGGGCGTAGCAGCAAGCCTAGAGATGCAGAAGGCCAGGGCGTCGCTGGAGCTGCCTCAGCATGCGGCATCTCGGTGTCCAGCGGCTGTGCCTGGCTTCAAACCCGCGCGGACAGAACTTACCCCTCCTGGGTAGTACCCGCCGCTGGCGCCAGGGTGCCCAGGGTAAGCCATGGTGTAGACTGCCACAGCCACCTCCCTGCCAGCCCGCTCGGCCTCCGCTTCGCTTTCTAGCCAGCTGGGCGGGGACGGTCTCGGAGTGCACCACGCCGGAGGAGGCTGGGGGACGCGCCCAGGCTTTCCGCTCCCAGCCCACACACCCTGCCTGCGCAAGGCTGCATTTTTGTGTTGCAGGTGTCCAGACCTTACATAATCTAAGGTCCAGTAGTGATTTTCTGCCTGCTGATATAAGTGACCCCAAGGGCTCCCCCCCCCCAAATGAGTGGCACATTCCAATATCAATGCAGCACCTCCCGGAATTCTCTTTTTCTTCCTAGTGGTTTGGTCTTCTCATATTTTTGTAACAAATTTAAAACAACTTCATTGGACTGAGCTGACCTACTCTCAGTAGAGTGCGATATTAGAAGAGTCTGAAAGCATTAGTTAGGGTGTCTCTTAGATTCCTTGGGGGGGGAGGAGACATAGAAAGATCAAATACGAAAACGCCAGGAACTGCGTAATAGAGGTGTTTGGCATTGCTCTGAATGACAAAATATGCCCTAGGGGACATTGTCATCTCGTGGTTAAGCTGGGCGTAGCTTGGCTACGCCCCAGGAAGACAGGACATTGACTGCGTAGGGCAGCCTCCTCCAGGTGCCCCCAGATGGTTCTTAGAGAATGAGTTGTTTTTTGAGTTTTCTGGATGATTCAGGCAAAAACAAATCCTGTCTTCAAGTAGTTATTTAGCTACTCTTCAACAAGAAAAGTAAGGAGCAAACTGGAGTGTGGTGGTAAAGTAGAACTTCACTCAGATTATTCAGAAAATGTTTTTCTTTACTCACACATTTTTCTTTTCACCCGGTTAAACAATCGGACAGATGTGACATTTTTGTTTTAAATGTAACTTTATGGTGCAGAATTTCCCCCCTGGATATTAGCGTTATAAGAAGTATATTAATGAGCAATAGTCACTGTGAAGTTTGCACAGAAAGTTTCATTAATCAACATTTGACAAATAGTGGACTCTCTGCTGAGCATGGCACTACATTCATCATAGTGGGCAGGCTTACTCCTATAGATTGAGAAGTAATCACATTGTAATGTATTCAAGAACTGTTTATTTAAAACTGGGAGCCATAATTTGAATGCACAAGCAAAGAGCAGTCCCAAGGTGTGTGCCACCAGGTGAGAGTAGCTGCGAATTTAAAGGATCAGCATGGGAATGGACTAAAGACTAGGTCATTTGTTTGGCATTTTTGGGTTGGAAGATAACAACAGTCTTAGGCAGAAAGCTAGTGTGGAGTCTTTCGTAATAATCAACAGATGACCTTCTTCTTGCTTTTCCAATCACCAATGAAAGAGCAGATTGTCATCTCCTAGGTGTTCTTCAGAAGTTCCCATAGGTAGTTGAGTCATATTTCTTACTTTTCACTTACAAGTTTCAATATGGCAGTTAGAGAGAAGGTGGACTCTAATTCAAAATAAGCTCCACACTCTCCTTTTTTATCATGAAAAACAAAGCCCACTCAATTGTTCTATATACCCAGAAATGGCTTGATGAATCATATGGTAGTTTTGTGTTTAATCTTTTACGAAAACTCCACAATGTTTTGGTTATTAGGCAAAGGGTGTTGAAACTCTCACTGGGCCATGACCCCTCTCACTAGTTCTGCATCTGTGAACTCTCTGCCACAACTATTTAAAAAAAAAAAAGTTTTGATGCAGCAAAATAGAAAAACATTTTATTTCAACAGGGAAGAGGGAGAACTAAAGGGGAGAATTATTAAAGGATGGTGAGGTGTTGCTGTGTGCAGCAGGCCACCATCTAAAGCTGGGGCTTAGGCTGGAAGGGTGCAGCAGAGACAAACCATTGTTGATGGTGATGAGGGGCACTGTCATCCATAGCAGTTCAAGGAAAAAAGGCTGAGTGCTCACATGCCCTTTCTTTTTTTTAAAAAAAAGATTTATTTTTTATTTATTTATGCATACAAGAACTGGGGTGTATGCCAGAGGTGTGGGGCATGAGAGAATTCACCAGAGACAGAATGGGGAGCAGAATAGATAGATCTATTGAAATACACTGCTGAGGGGAGCAGCAGGCAAGTCAGGAGAAGTCTGCTGTATCATGTGGGCTGGCTTCCTGCCTGGGGATTGAACTCATGGCACTTTGCTGCAGTAGCTGGCAATAGCTTGATAGCACTGAGACTTTAACTCCTGTGCCACCAGGGAGGCCCCCATGCCCCTCCTTTTATAAGAGATTCCCCCAAAAGGCTGATCTGCTCTACCCCCTTCCCAGTAGCCCACTATTTCCCTGAATCCACTGCGATGTCAGGGGTAGAGTTTGGGTCACTGTGCTTTGCTGGTATCTTTTTTTTTTTTTTTCAATTTTTTAAAAGATTTATTTATTTATACAAGCACTGGGGTACAGGCCAGAGGCACGGGGAGGTAAGAGAATTCACCAGAGACAGACAGAGCAGGGAGCAGAACAGGCAGAAGGACCAAAGTATACTGCTGAGGGGAGCAGCGGGCAAGACAGGCGAGGTCTGCCGCGCCATGTGGGAATCTCCCTGGCTGGAATTAAACAGGCCCTGCAGAGGCTGCGGACAGCTTCACAGCCCTGTGCCACCGGGGAGGCCCTGTGCTGGTATCTTGTCAGAATTCAGAGGGTGGAGTTCAGTTCTGATTTGAGTTGCTCATCCACTAACACTGGGGTTTGTGTCCAGCCTGGGCAAAGGCCTCATAGGCCACACTGGGCCTGGGCCTGGGCCTGAGGATGCAAGACTCCTCCAACATTTTCTATAGAGGCCTCATCATGTCACATTCCCACCAATGTTCAAGAATTCCATTTTTTTCCATGTATTTGACAACACTTATTATCTATTTTTTTTTTTATAATAGCCATCCGGAAGGTGTTAGATGATGTCTGTGTGATTTTGAGTTCTTAAGATAATTAGTGAATTGAGCACTTTTTCATATATCATATCCACTGGCCACTTGTAAGAGAGAAATGTCTGTTTAAGTCCTTAGCACATATTTAAAATTAGGCTACTAGATTTTTTGCTATTGAGTTGCAGAAGTTCCTTATATATTTTGAAGACCAACTCTTCATCAGAGGTACCACTTGCAAGTATTTTCTCCCAGTTCATGGGTTTCCTTTTCATTCTGTTGTTTTGTTTGCTATGCAGGAGTTTTTTAGTTTGATGTTGCCCTACTCCTTTTCATTTTTGTTATCTGTGCCTTTAGTGTCATACCCATAAATTTATTGCAAAGACCAATGTCACATGAAGCTTTTCCCCAAATTTTCTTCTAGGAGTTTTAGATCTTAATTTTAGTCTTACTCCATTTGAGTTGATTTTTTGTGTATGGTGTAAGATAAAGTCCAATTTCATTATTTTCATATGGCTATCCAGTTTCTCAACACCTATTTTTGAAGATGCCATCCTTTTTCCATTGGGTACTCTAGTCAAAGACTAGTGAATGTATATGCTTGGGTTTATTTCTGGTTTCTTGGCCTATTTTTTGAAGTCTATTTCTTCAGAGAGAGGTCACCAACTATAAGGAATAGATGGTGAGAGCTGAACTCAAAGTTTAGTGAGTTCTTCAAGACTCATGTTTGAAAGAAGTATATAGCATATAAAATATTTACAAGTAATGCAGTTGAGTTTTGTGAATAAGTGACTATGTGGACTGTCATTTCAATTGTCTCTAGACATATTGCTCCACTGCTAAAAAGGGGATTTAATGGAATGTTGCAAATGAATTCCTAACAATTATTGCTAACAAATTGGTAAGCTATTGCTGCTGCATTTTATGAAAAAACAAAGTAAACAATCCAGTCAACAAATGGGCAGAAGAACTTAAAAGACATTTCTCCGAAGAGGAAATGCAAATGGCCAACAGGCATATGAAAAATGTTCAATATCCCTTATAATCAGGGAAATGCAAGTCAAAACCACACTGAGATACCACCTTACACCAAATGTTGGCGAGGATGTGGTGAAAAGGAACTCTCCTACATTGCTGGTGGGAGTGCAAACTGGTCCAACCACTATGGAAAACTGCCTGGAGGTTCCTCAGTCTACTAAAAATGGAGCTACCATATGAGCCGGCAATTCCACTCTTAGGGATCTACCCAAGGGACACAAAAACACTGATTCAAAAGAACACTTGTACCCCCATGTTTATTGCAGCACTATTTACAATAGGTAAAACCTGGAAACAACCCAAATGCCCAAAAATAGATGGCTGGATCAAGCAGATGTGGTATATATACACATATTATTCAGCAATCAAAAAAGATAAACTCATGCCATTTGCAGCAACATGGATGGAGCTAGAAGGAATTATGCTCAGTGAATAAGCCAGAAGGAAAAAAAAATTGGATTTTTTCACTTATAGCAGGAATATAGGGGAACCAAATAAGACATCAGTGTAAAAAAATAACGGTACAAAACACAACAAAGCAAAAACAAACAATTATAAATCAGAGACATATTGCAGGGGAGGAGATGGGAGAGGGATCAGAGGGAGGGAGGGAGGGAGGGAGGGAGGTGTACAGGGGACTGAGGTGATGGTGCACCGGTACATTAGTGGAGTAAACTCTATGGGGACTACACCTGAGGGGTTGGGGGAAGCAAATATTGTTTAAAAATGAACAATGATGTAAAAAAATGAAAAAAAAATAATTAAAAAATTAAAAAGAGTAGCATAAAAATAAATAAAAAATAAAATAGTCACTTCTACCTTGTAGCATACATGCAAGTATCCAAATCCTACACAAGTAAATGGGTGTAACTGTGTCCCAATACAACTCTATTTATGAACACTGAAATATTAATTCCATATAATTTTCTTATCATAAAACATTCTTTGTTTTTTAATTTATTTTTAATTATTTTATATATTTTTTACATCATTTTTCATTTTTGTACAGTTTGGGGAACTAAAATTCTATTATTTGTTGTAACAACTTGCTAACTAAGTCTCAGAAAAAGAATGTTGCTAAGTCTTAGAAAAAGAGTGGGGAGTTATGAATTCACAGTACAATGACTGAGGGAGGTGGCATCCGTGTAGTCTAGGGAGGTTTATAGATAGCA